GCATTTGCATTTTAAGGAGTGTTTTAAATGGCTCACTGTCTATGCACTCGCAAGCTAATTCAAATGCTCTTTCTTTAGTTATCTTCTTTGATTTAGCACGCCTGAGCTGTTCAGATTTTCTACGGACAGTTAATTGGTGCTTGAATAGTCTCTTTTTCAGTTTCAATTTTCTAGGGGTATCGGGAGACATGTATTTAGGTTTACCTGATTTAACGTTTGAGACAGGAGTCATCTTAACCCTCTTCACGGTTGGAGACGCTGTTGTTGGTGTAGGTAGAAGTAGAGAGAGGGGTGTGTGTGACTGTAAAGATGCTGGTGCTGGTGCAGGGGGGATGGAAGGTGATGATCCTGAGGTACCTGGTTGCATTGAGAGTTCCATTTGGTGTCGATGCCACTCAGATGCTGGTTGTGGTGCTGGTTGTAATGCTGGTTGTGGTGCTGGTTGTAATGCTAGATGTTCTGCTGTTTGTGGTGCTGGCTGTGATGGTGGATGAATTCCCGAAGATTCGAAAACATCGAGAGGTTCTTGGGTTTCAACCGAACAAAACAATGTCGGCACAGCATTTTTTTTTAGTCGACTGCTCCTTGACAAGTTATTGAAACACGACGATTCAAAATGTCGTTCACAAACAACGCGAGAAGCGAGGGCAGTAGATGGTAAATCAAATAACTGTTCGTTAGCACAGTTTATAACCCACTCGTCACAGACATCAGGGTTATTCACTGGGAATTTAAAAAACCTTAAAAAAGAATCTTTGGTCTTAATTGATAAACACGAAAGAAATGCACACTTTTTAGTACCCGGCATGATGTCCAAATAACTACAACTTGGTAACTAGGTCATAATAACGAAAATGTTTAATTAACTAATGTCTCTTATACACGCACGTACACCCACTACATACATTGAATGCGAACTGCGTACATATGAACAAGGAAAAGTTTAGATCTCAAACATAGAGTCGAAAGAGACGCGCTATGTTCGAGGTTTCGCACTATACTAAAAGCTAAGCCTAAACACGCAAAATTTCAGCCCGAATGTGAGAGTCGAGACTTTATAACCCATCATAAATTAACACTCTTCTGTGAACAGCCCCGGTGCCGCCAACCCCGCTGTCGCCAACCCCGCTGTCTCCAAAGGTAGGGCCAGTGCCTGACCGCCCTGCCTGCTGATTTAGTTTGTAGTGGGCATTTTGTTATTTAGGACATAACAATTTTAAAAATATAAAACAATGTGAGAAGTTGTTGTTATGGCATATTGAGAACAGCTTCCTACTCGGAATTGTAAATAAGTTTTGACAACCCCACGATCTTGATAAATTTAAATAGGAAGATTTAACAACCTAATTTAATTTAAACCCTGTTCAACCCTAAACATTTATTAACATTTATTATTAAGAGTTTTTACTCTTTCTCCCCATCATCATGTTCCGATGTAGAGCTGTGAATAATAATACAATAAATCATTGTAGGTCCCCTGTTTGCATTACTTTAAAAGATTATTATGTCACCTTGCCATTATGATAATTGAAAGCATAATGAACATCATAAAAGAATCAAAATAAATATAGCTATAAACAATTCTAAATTCTAGTTTAAATTGTTCAATTAAAGTTTTTTAATATGCAAATTTTCCAAAAGGACCCATACTATTTATTTTGAACACTGCCAATCTGTATTATTAATAAGCTACATGATTTTTTTTTAACAATAAGGTTTTTTGTTTAAAAAGATTTAACCCTTCAATATACACCAAAATGTACGTATTGGTGTTTAGATTTGAAAACTGACCTAAAATTCTTTTTAAAGGCTTTTGGGCTCTGTCCCAGAGGCTTTTAAAATTAACATGTTCTCCTTATGAAAAAAATTTCTTTACATTATGATCAGCTGGTTACTGTAATTAGAGATGAACTGTAAGAAAGGACCATGAGGTCCTAAGTTTGCCTCAATAAAGAATTATTTTCATTTCATCAGCTGGATAATCTAATTGCTGTTAATTCAGTTGCAATTTAATGAAACGTGTGCTACAAACATTTACTGACTTGGTTGAAATGGCATTTTTACTATTTGAATTTGGGTTGGCGTATGTATTACAATGAAAATACCTGCAGCAAACCTGCCGTCTAAGCGAATTTCCATTTGGCTGAATTAATTTTCAATCGATCTATTTAAATAACATTAGGTTTAACGAGTACCTAGGTTTGCTGCTACAAGGAAACTAATAAAGTGTGTGTTTTAAGTAAAATAATTATTGCTTAGTAGAAAATGAATATATTTGCCAAGTTTGATCAAAAGATATCCATAAACAAGCAAACTACAACATTTTACAATATTCTCCATAAGAATAACATGGGAATTTTAAATTTACAATTTTTGTAGTTTTTTCCGTAACCAATAACCGTACAAAAACACTTTGATATACTGAATTGTTAGTTTTTTTAAGCTCTTTAAGAAGGTTTAGAGAAAAATTGGGAAATTTTGTGTTTTGAGGGTCAAAAGTGAGAAAAACCAATTTTTACCCCATAAACCACCCCCATAAAACCCTGTTCCCATGGTCCGATCATGCTGGATCGCGAACTCATTCAAGTTTATCCCGCCTTACACCTTCAAACCAAATTTCATCAAAATCGGATAAAAATTACTCAAGTTATCTTGTTCACGGACACATATATATATAAATCTATATATATATATATATATATATACATATATAAAAATTTGAACGAATGGTGTTTTTGGCCTCTGGGGACATCAAAATGAAAAAGTAAATCGGTCCCGGGCCTAAGTCTTACCATGAGACCTACGGTAATAGCTACTTCCCTATAGGGAAATTCGCTAAAACCGAGAAAGCTTCGACAATTTAATATACTAAAAAGAAAACTGAATTAACACTGTGCTGCATTTCTCGACTAATCATTGAAAGAGCCGATTTTCAAACTATGGAATCATAGGAAAGCAATAGAACATCATCAAGTAAAAGAAATAGAAATAATGTATATCGTGAGTATTTCCATAATCTTTGAGTCGACTCTCTTAATGTCATCGGAAATTATGACTGTTATTCGTTTTAAAATAAAGCCTGTAATATTCGCGATTGCTCGAATTACACCAATCACAAAAGAAGGAGCAACGTTTCTACTGAGTTTCAACTAAGTAAATCATTGAATGTTGCAGTGTAACAGTACAGTAAATCAATTAAATTATATATACTATAGTTAACCTTTTATATCAGCTAAATAAATGTATAATTGAATACTAAACCAGTTTAAAAGAGGTAGGCCTATAATATGAAAAGAATACGATAATACTTCATTCACATAATATCCACTAGTAAGGTATGTGTATTTAATAATATAAATGGAGTAAGTGCATTTTTAACACAAACACGCACACTGCGCCTCTGCGATGCTAAAAAATCGAGCAGTAGACACAGTAAAATCCATGAACCGGCAACCGGCAAGCTGCGTTCGACATGTACAATGGGAAACAATGCCATTGTTTGCGCTTCCGTTGGTAACGCAGATTGTTAGGGCTCGCAATTGCCGCTAGGAGCAGCACACTACTAGGCTAAAAATCTCCCACGCTAAACTCCATATGGCTGCCTATCTCTTTATATTACTTCATCTATGATATTACCTATGATTAGACCAGTGGTGGATATAGAATATTTTTTTTGGGGGGGGGGGGCCCGAGATGAATTTAAGTTTAGGTCAAGTAATTTCAAGTAGACACGCGATGATACTTTGTCTCAGTTTTGCTGCCGTAATTTGCGCTAAATGTTACTTTTACTTTACCAAGATCACGCTGTATCATCATATCGTTCCATTAAATCATAAAACTATCTATTCCAGCCAAATGAAGAAAATATCTCAATTACTAAATCAAAAAACATTGGTCAAGATTTAACAGCGTGTCATCCCATCTGTAAACACTTATCCGAAGCTAAGGAGTCAAATACGCGATTGTGATAATCATATTCAGAGAGGTTTTAACTACTGTAAGTATTCTTTTGTGCGAATTGCAAAACGTTAACATTTCAGTACAACATATGTTGAACAGATGTAAATAACAAACAATAACAATGGCTACCACTGAACACTAGTGTCTACAGGCTGACTGATCACTTATTGCAAACGAAAAAAAAGTGGCTACTGAAAAAGAAAAACCTCCTTGTTGATGGATGACTGCAGCCTGGCGTCTGCTACATCATAGCACAAAGAGACGGAATACCAATAACCTCAATTCTAAAAAATTAACTAAAACCACACCATTCTAGAACAGAACCAACTTAAATCTTAAATTATAAGCTAATTTAATCATATTTGTGATTCCTGACGGAGATTGATGTTGCCTAAGCCAATAGGCCCTGAAAGTGTCTGATTTATGGAAGGAATTAAATAAACACATCCAATTTGTTTTCAAAATTTAAGAAACTATTAGCACTGAACAAAATAAATGGGTAGGTACCAAACTTATTTAACAGGGTTTATGTAAATTTTATTTTTATCTATGAATATAAAATTCAATAGTTTTAAAGAAAGCTAAGCTAATCAAACAGCTAGTGAAGTGGGAGAGAGCGAAACAAAACAGACGACAGATCACATACGTCATCAAGAAAACTAATTCTTCTTTTTCAGTGGCCAGTTTTTTTTTTTTGTTGCAATAAGTGATCAGTCAGGCTGTAGACGCTTGTACCACTGAACTTACTGAACTCTTCATTACTCCCCTCCCCTGTCGCCGGTAGATATGCTGGTTTCTAGCTGTCACTGCTGCAAGCTAAGATAGTCGGGCGGCGGGCGGTAGCTCGAGTAGGACTGAATCAACCCGAACTCGCACAAACTATCACTGTCTGCCATAGCGAAGACTTTGCGCATGATTCATGATAAATAATTCATATTATGGTACCTATTTTTTTCATATCCATTATTTGGGGGGGGGGGGCAAATTTTTCCATTTCCATTTTTCCTGTTTTGCCGTTGTATCTAATTATTGTCTACCAGGTTCTACAACTCTTTGCGAGCAGAAATACTCGAACCAGAAGTCTACCATTTGAAGCCCAAGAATAATACTCCATTTTTCAAAAAGTTCACTGCAGCTCTTCCAAGATCCATTAGTTGGTATGGAGCTTACCTTTTCAAGGTATGTAATTTTTCAAGTATGTTTTTGAAATGTAGGCAGGGGGTAAGTTTTGCTCAGGGCAAAACTATTTTACAGTAGACCCCCTCTTAACCGACCCTAATGGGACCGGACCTAGGTCGGATAACGCAAAAGGTCGGATAAAACGGGCAATCCCTAAAATCATAACATAATGAAGTGCTATTTATTTGGAATTATATAATCATTATTTTGAAGTCATACTAGCATTATTTATAAAATAAACTACTCTTATCTCCTTTTTCATATTGATAGAAAAGTCACAAATAAACACAAAACACGGTTAAGTCAAATAGGCCTACTTTCAGTGGAATATATTATAATACTAGGCAAGAGTAAATAAAATTCATATTTTAATAACTTTAGTACTGCAATGTATTAATTGATGCTTTCCAAATATATTGTAATACAGTACAGAACCTTTTGTTGACATTAGATACAAGCGACCATTTTGTTACAAGACAGGACGTTTATTTATAGCCTCTCACTGGTGTCTCGAGGCACAAAAACTATCTTGACCTTGGAATTGTTAACCCCCCATCCCTGCCTTCCTTACAAGTTGCGTTGTTTGTTTACTCCGGCGATAAGATAATCAGTTCTCAAAATTGTGAGGCACTTTATGATGTTATAAATTTGCCGCGCAGATAACAAATCAGATCAGATGTGCTCGAATACAGATATAGCTACGAACGATTTTGACAAACTGACAATAGGCTATGCTATATTTTTTGTGATCAACACAAAATAAACTTATTGTTAGTCATATCCTGTGGAGATAAGCGTATGGTTCAGTTCACATCACCCAGCGTGGGAGCGGAAATGCCGAGATTCCTAGAAAGCGGCGGTTAAACCGAGCTGCTCTCAAAGCAAGGTCGGTTAAAACAAACTGCATTATTTTACGTTCGAAGGCGGATAATCCGATTATCGGTTAATACGAGGTCGGTTAAGAGGGGGTCTACTGTACTTCTCTTGACACTTACTTACGAGTATACATCTTTGAGCAAATTGGCTCCATGGTGGTTATTTACATTGTTGCAGAGATACCTATTGGTATATGCACTGAATCTGCTGATAGGTTACACACGAGTATAGCATAGGTGTACCACAACTGTTTCCTTTCTTTAGTTAATGCCGAACATTTCGGGCTGTTGTAGCAAATTTCCACCCAGAAAGTGTAATTCTTGTCAAGCAAAGGTTCCACCAGTATTGCCACTATTACTGAGGACTTATTTTTGAATTGTAGAATAATAAGGATAGTGCAGGTAGGCCATAGAAGATACAGATGATAAACTGAACACACAATATTTTGTCCCCAGACGGTCTTTGAGAGTTTTCAAGCCACTCCTTGAACAAAACTAACCTTGAGACCTTTTTGTAATAATAATAATATGGTGGACTTATATTATTCTGGCGCCATTGCTATTTATTTCTATCTCATCATAAAATCGTACTATTTGGCTACACATTTCAGGTAACAAGAAATCCTTGATTTTTTACGTGTACTGGTCTCGGTTTTCATGAAACAAGCAGCCTGATTCATATAATGTTAAATACCCCCGCCCAGCCTTTGGTTAAAATATATCCATAAACAAGCAAACTACAACAGTTTATTTATTCTCCATAAAAATAACGTAGGAATTTTAAATTTACAATTTTTTTAATTATCTCCATAACCGGCATACAACAACGTTCAATATACAAAATTATTTCTTTTATTAAGCTCTACAGAATGGTGTGGAGAGAAATTGTGATATTTTGTGTTTTTAGGGTCAAAAATGGGAAAAATCTATTTTTACCCCATAAAACCCCGTTCTCATAGTCCGATTATGCTGGTTCGCGGACACATATATATAAATATATAATATATATATGTATGAATTTGAACGGATGGTGTTTTTGGCCTCTGGGGACCTCAAAACAAAAAAGTAAATTGGTCCCGGGTCTAGGTCTTGCCATGAGACCAACGGTAATAGCTTATTCCCTATATAAGAAATTTGCTAAAAACTAATTTGGTAAATGCGTCAATTTACTATTACTGCTGTTAAATACTTGGTTGCAACATATTTCTGGATAATCATGTAAATTTCATTTTCACAAACATATATTTTGACCATTTACATTTGAAATTCAAATTGATTTAATAAAGTAGAGCCACTTTTCCGCTTGCCAAGGCTGCAAGGACCATTAGTCAGTGAAGGATTCATATTATATCTTACTCCAGTCAAATCCCAACTCTTAACAAAAAGTTTTAAGTCTGACAAGTATTAAGTTTTACTACCATTATTAAACACCCAGAAAGAATCTAGTTTGACATTGATACTTATTATAAAAATATTATTATTTTAACTGTACAGTAGACTTCCTCTTATCCGGACCCTCGGGACCGAGGCCAGTCCGGATAACAGTCTTCCAAACCGACGTCCCCAAAATCTCGTTAAAACGGACCGTTTAAATGCATACTCTATACAGTATTTGACTTAAAATTAGGAGAGCATTGTATTTAGATACGTAATCACTGGTCTCAAATCTTTCCCACGAGAACAGTTGTTTTAGTACCGCCCACTTCCTGCCGATCTAGTCCGGTTAAACCGATGTGCTAATAAAAGTTATCTGGATAAAGAGATGTCACTCCTACCAAGTGTAGTCCGGTTAAACCGATGTCCAGTTAAAAGGTGTCCGGATAAGAGGGAGTCTACTGTATTCTATTATCTCACCCACTGAGTACCTACTCCCACTTTACTGAAATTGTGAAATTTATCAGTTTTGTGTTTAATTTTGTTCAAAGGCTTTTCCCCTGGACATGTCACAATACAACACTCTGTTCAATACCACCAGAGTACCCTTGTTCCAACAGAAAGACCGCATCAAACATGTTGATGGAAAACGTCATCTTTTGGTGATGAAGGGAGGTCACTTCTACTCCGTTGATGTGCTTAGTGAGAATGGTTAGTACGTATTACTGTATTAATTAATCATTGGATGCTACCTGTGGGTGATCTTGTGCGCCATGCCTGTCTGAGGGTGCTGTGCGCAGGATCACCCACTCCCATAAATGTGTCAGTAGCCCACAGAACGTTCCGTGTAGTGTTGTAGCACTGTGGAAGAAACCTAACCTCAAACTTGTGCAGTGTTATTTTTTTGCTTGGCACCTGTTTTCCCAGTATTTTTGATGGTGTAACTCGGTACTTCACTCCTGAGTAACAATTTAAAAACATACTTTTTCAAGAAAAGCACTTTCTAATTTGTTTAACTTTTTTTTATTGACATCATAAAATGTCCATAGTAACCCAATATATTTGGTCGTTTTTTATTGATAAAGCATCTTTAATGGAAAAACATGAAATTCTGTCACGATCATAACGGACGTCAAAATGAATATTAAAAATAGTTAATGTTATTTTTATTAATATGCTTTGCTGTAGATACATTTAGTTTTAGAGCCATTTTGCAATAAACAGCTCATTAAACCTTTGGTAAATTTGGTCTTTCTAAAAAAAAGTTGAAAAACCAAAAATATCTAAAAAAAAAGCTAAAAAAATCTCTAATGTAAAAGATTGTATATGTCTGAACAAATGTTCCTGATATATGAAATATCTTTATTTTTTTATAGAGGAGTCCTTCTTGTGTGTATATATTTAAAAAAAAACATTTTCAATTTTTGAATTTTTAATTATCTAAATCATGAACATTAGTCAGGGACAAGTGTTTCGGTCTGGAATTGGCGATTAACGAGAATCACTATATTTTTATTTAGGTTTTCATTCCACTACTCTTATTCTTATAATATTCCATAAGACTTGATAAACCATAATTTATTTTTAAAACATTATATTATAGTTTTATATATAACCATAGACTAACTAACACAAGTAGACTTCTCATCCCATTGTAAATTTTAAAGCTTGTTTTTCGTGTCAAGTAATATTGTGTCTAGTATTGTAGGGAGAATTTTTTATCTATGATATAACTCTAAACAATATAAGTTTCATGATGGTATGGTCTCTCTCTGGATCGTCTGAGTTAACATATGGTGGTTTATGTTACCTTGTGACTGTCGAAAACGATCCTTTGTAGTTCGTTATGACTACAGCTGTTTCATGCTTCGGATGGAGCACATCATCAGGTCTGAAGAATGTCAAGTAGTAACATACACCTTACTACCCGTTCGTTTTGTGTATTTATGGTAATCCTCTTAACTTGGGGGCTTTAGGGTTGGTTACTTTTAAGTTTCTAATTTCTTCATTAGTTAAAAGGTTATTACACAAAGATATTAATCAGTTGATTTCCTTAGAGAAGGAGGTGGTGGGGTCTTTAGCTAGAGTTACGATGTTATTGGCCTCGATGAAGTCCTGGACCTTGCTAATGTATTCATCCTTATCTATGATGACTGTGCAGTTACCCTTATCTGCCTTTGCCACCCAGTTAAATTTTAAAATCTACAGGAAACCATCTACTAACTACAGATCAGACAGTCCATTTGTTATCACACCATCCACATAACCATAAAACTGCCGCATACAATAGTTTCGTCCACCTCTTACTTTCCATCCCACTGAGTCCAACCGATTACAATGACAAAGTAAATACTTTAAAACATATAGCAGTCGCAAATGGCTACAATAGTTCCCTGATTGACAAATTGATTAGTAGACAACTCAATAAAAACAATAACAAACCACATGATAGTAGTAAAAGATACTTCAGCACTAACTACGGTGTTGTACTGAACCACACCCCAGTAAATGAATTAGCTAAAAATGATGTTATTATATCATTTAAAACTAACAATAAACTCTCAACCATCGTTAAAGAGAGGTGCCAACCCGAAACTAATAAAATGGATAAAACAGGAATTTAAAGATTGAAATGTGACGACTGTCCCAATTTGTATATTGGCCAGACTTCAAAATCTTTTTCTATCAGGTTCAAGGAACATAAGCCAAAGAAAAATTCCAAATCAGCGTACGCAAACCACCTAACTTCCTCCAACCACAATTACACTGATATTCACAGTAATTTATAAATAGTACAGTTCTGTAATAAAGGCCGATACATGGATACAGTTAGAGTTTGAAATTTACAAGGCGTCAAAATAACATCCACCGCATATATTGAATGAAAAATTATCATTCGAGTCAAACAGTGACAGTCACGACTGGCCCTCAACCGGTGCTGTACCACGTGTTTCGTTACCATCTGGTCAACCAGTTTTAAATGTTGCGTTTTGTGTTATGTGTCGTGTCCGTGTTATTTATATACTATTAAACTTTTGACAAACTCCACCATGAGGAATATTTAATGACTACCTGACATTCTTCAGACCTGATGATGTGCTTCTTCCGAAGCTTGAAACAGCTGTAGTCATAACGAACTACAAAGGTTCGTTTTGGACAGTAACAAGGTAACATAAACCACTATACAATATAAGTGTTACCTTATATATGGTAATAAAATTACCTGTCAATGTATACTTTCAACGAATTCAAAATCTGTTTTTTTACATCTTTCAATTAATTGTACTGTTATAACAAAGATTTGTGTTGCAATTAAACTAAACTGTGCAATTTACAATGATGTTTTAATTTATTTTCACTACCATAACACAGTACAATCGATAAAGCTATTTGGGTTGTGAAAAAACTCGTGATATAGTCGTGAAGCCCCAGTTGTAAAATCACGTATTATTTGGCTCTGTTCTGGTGGCAGCTCTACACCTCATGTTTGAGGAGGCAAAGTGGATTTCTAGGTTAACGTAGCAATTAAAATATCATATCAACAAACATTAACACCATGTCTACTTCATCAAATGACTATAATAATAATTAACTATATTGAAAATAATTTTTTAGCATATTTCTGTATTTTGACGACACACCCATACAAGACATTTTATAAATTAAAGCCTCACTATCTATCGTATCAAATGCGCTCGATAAATCCACAAAAAAGTAAATAATTTATCTAACCTTTATTCCGCTGATTGCAGATGAGCTATACAAGTGAGATTAAAAATGTTATCTATAGTCGAGTAACCTTGGCAAAATTCTGCCTGGAGCTCCGTAAACAAACCTACAGTTGCCCCAATTCATTAATCTGTTATTTGTTAGAATGATAAAAATCTTTCCTACACAGTCTATAAATGACAATCATCTGCAGTTTTCAGCTAGATTAATATCTCCTTTTTTATATAATGGGTACGTACACTGTCGACTTTTTAATGATTTTGAAACATTCCCCGTTCTGTAAATATTATTAAAAACAGATAATAATCTGATAAGAAATAAATCTGGAGCATACTTAAAATATTCGTATGGGACTCTATCAATCCCTCGAGCCTTGTTACATTTAACCTTTTTTAGGACGTTTTTCAACCCTCCCATACTAAAATCGCTATCTAAAAATGCATCTGCAATCACTGGTTCGGCAAACTGTATTTTTCCAGTCAGTAATGTGGGGTTGAGCAATGTTTTAAAATGTCTTACCCAGTCCAAGGGCGTGATATTTCCAATAATCCTGTTATTTTCTTTCTTTTTAAAACTATTATCTGCCCTCCAAAAGTTATTTGAATTGCTTGCCCTTACCTCTTGAGTAATACTACTTATTTGGGATTCTAAATGTGTTTTTTTTCTTGGCACAATGACATACTTTCTGCTTTTGTAAATATATCCTATTCTAAACTGATATTCACTGTTTTTCCTTAATCCATTTAATGACTTAAAAACTCTTTCGTTGTAAAAAACAATCAATATCAAACCATGGTTGCCTGAAAGTAAGTTTATGTTTTTTTTTTGCTTTGTAACATTTTCAGTTGAATCTTTTATTATTTTAATTAAATTAGATATAAATTACCCTGAATAGTGATTAGACTCACCTATCTCAACAGTCTGAATGTTGACTTCAATATTTTCTTGGCAATATATGTGATCCTTCGCCTTCCATTTCAATTTACGTAACATAGGGGGTGTTTTCACACCCTCCGAACCCTCACCATCAACTGCAACTTTCTCACACATTTCAAACTCAGTTCAATTGGGAGGTGATTTAACCCTGGATGGTTTCAATTTTAAAATCGTGGATAAAATTTAATGATACTATAGCAAAATCGAACAAGAAATAGCTACTATCTTGTACACGTTTGATATTTTTAGCAAAAGGTGAATTTAAGTTTTTCAAGCATACCTCCTACATTTCTCCCATAATTTGAAACCCTACTTGCAAACACAAAATATACTTCAAAATTTTTGAAATCTTATGATAACATAACCATTTTCAGTATAAACCTCTCAAGTAAAAATTATTTCATCAGTATTTGATATGTTTACAAAGTTGTTTGCTATTTTAACCAATCTTAACGGTTAATATCACCTTGGTCCAGTTCCATGAGGGTCAGTTAAGCGAGGTTTGACTGTTGCAATGGTGAAGCATATGTCCACAATACTTCCCTCAAATAATTTCCATTAAGACACGCGGTGTTGCAGGAGACATTGTAGCTCCAGATGTGATATTGGGTGCCATACAGAAGATTTTGTCCTCTACCGAGACAGCTGCATCTTATCCAGTAGGAGTGTTGACTACCGAGAACCGAGATGTTTGGGCGACTGCTAGATCTCACCTGGAGAGCATTGGCAACACTGAGGTGTTGGAGCTCATTGACACGGCTCTCTTCAACCTTGTCCTAGACGATGTTACTCTTGGCCCAGACCCTGTAAGCATGACAAGGGCTTTTCTGCATGGGGATGGAACAAACAGGTGTGTCTGTCCTTGTGTCGTTATTGTATTTGTGCTTCTAACAAGTGTTAAATGTTGCAGCCACTAGTCTTTGTGACTGCTCATGTCATCAAATAAATTGTTCTCACTATTTATCTGTTTGTTTATACATTTATTTGCTGTGTCACTAAGATATAATCAGTTGAGCTAGTATAGGCCTAACCTCTGATCAGTTGGTTGATTATTTCCAAAGCAGGGTTAGTACAGTACATTAGTTTTTGTATTTCACAAAATGGACAAGATTGTTGAGTTGAAATGCATGTACCATTTAAGTCCTAATGATCTTCACGTCCAATTTATTGTCATTTTTACCACCATGCTTTTTGTTACCTGGAATCATAATATTTGTACAAGCTTCATTACTTAACGACTTTAACCTACAAATATTTTTTTCTTTTTACAATAATATTTATTTCTTAAAAAATAATCCCAGAACAGACTGGAATGATAATTTTGACTGCATATTTTGATTACCCATTATTATTAGGTATAAATTAATTGTCATAGTAAGTTGGTTTATCCGGCCAAATCGTTATACGGTCAGAGGCTTGGTCCCGTGGTGGCCAGATATGAGGGGTTCTACTGTATTTGGAAGCTGTGTCAGGTTATATTTAGCAATTTAAGTTTTAGCCGTTTTTATTTTAATTTCTAAAGGCTTTTTCTAACTTAAGAGATAGTGGAAGGGATTATATACCAGAGTGTAAAAAAAGTAGTAAAGAAAGGTATTGAGAATGTCGAGGATTCTAGGATGTAAACGTAAAGGGATGGAAAAGTTAGGATTTATGAATTGATAAATATAATATTTAACAACCAATAGCTTATCATGGAATTGAGTAGAATAGTTTGTGTACTATTGTTTTTTCCTGTATTACTGTTTTATATTAATATTTCTTTTATGTGTATTCTAATGTGACTCTCGCCATTAGAGCTCAATTAGCTAATGCACATTAACAATACGCATGCTCTGCCTGCACTAGTTATGTCTTGGTACTTGATGCATTCTCAGCACCATCGGTTTGTGAGAAAAAAATTGGTATCAAGTACCGACGTTTAAATGTCTAATAGAGCTAGGGGGCCTAATGGCGGCAAGGTATAACTGCGCTGACCATGACATCACACTAGTTGCAGGGTTGCGGCCACTGACATCACGAAAGAGGCGGTGCCCTTTTCTCATATGTAGTAGATGGAGGGGGTTAAGTGGCAGTTACGGCGACATCACAATCATTTCTGTGATTGCGGTATATCCAAACTTGACAAAGATGTAAAAAGAGAGGAAATCTAAATTCTACTAAAAAAAATAGGTATGAGAGACATTTTAGTAGAGAAAATCTACTAAAATCCCTTTAAACAGCCCTGACTTAAAGGTCATATTGGGTTTTCTAGTGGCCACTTTTTGTTGATTTTCTTGGGCTTCTTTTCTCTTCTTCTCTTCTCTGAGGACCCATTAAAAGATCTCCTCTTTCTTCATACCCATTTATTAATCCTGGCCATTAAACCATTTTTCAGCATTTCTTTACTGTCAGGCGTAATTTTGGCTCTTCTGCTTTTGTTTCTATAACATGGGGGCAAAACTTTCTATCAACTTTCCTATTGTCTTTACTTCCAGCCACCGTTCTTGCGAAGTTAATGGAGTTTAATATGCCTAACTATTCTTCCAGGGTAAGGTGTTTACAGGAGATTTTTGTGAATCAGATTAGCACATGTTTGCCACCACCTCTCTGATGCTCATGCTTGGGGCTTCTGCATTGGTCTTGCTCTGATCTAGTTATCTATCTCATCTCTTGGATCAAGCAACATGTCCTTCCCTTCTTTGTCCTATCTTTACTGTTATCTTTTAATAAGCATTTCTCGAGCTTCATTCCTAACGGCTGATGTGTGCTTCTCTCTTTCCCTACCTTCTGGCTCACTATGATGAACAGATCACACACTTTTGTATACTCTTAATTAGGAAGTCTATCGGTGGTAATCCAGCTGGAACCAGGGGTGAGCTGACGGCAACAGTTCTGCAGTCAGATATGATTCTTAGTATCGCACAGCAGTGTCCTGAAATCCTTTGTTTTTCTATCCCTCCATCCAGGCTAGTGCTGCATACAACATTAGTTTGATGGACACAATAGCATGTAGTTTTATTTTATTTTGTTGCGCTCCACCTACATTTTGCATAAGTCTGGATTGATTGCCAACTGTTTTTGCAGCTCTCAGTGCTACCTGGCTAATGTGTGTACCAAATGCAAGATCCTAATGGTTAATATCCACTTCCAGGTAGGTACGTTGTGTTTTCCATTCAATAGCAACTCCCCCAAACACTCGTTTAGGGGTCCTGAATTTCCTCCAATTGGTAATCTCTGTGCCTTTGGTTTTATTAACTTCAATTTTTTCATCAGCCAAGATTTGGCTCTCAGGATATTTTCCTCCATCCTCACTCCTCAGTTCTAGCTGCAAAATTGACGATGCTGTCACCACCTGTGAGGCTTATGTCAAAGATGGTTTAGACCAAGTTCCAAATCATAGGAATCAGCTGTGAACTCTGTGAGGATCTCTGTATGATATTTTCTCTAACAATATAAATTCTTCGATTTCATAGTTTATTTTTTAGTTTTTTTGACAAGTTTCTTGATATAATTAATTTCAGAACAACTGCATATTGAAAGCATATAATAGTTGCATTCTTTGATCGTCTTTGAATATTTGTTTTAGGAGAGTTTGGAATCTTAGTATTCTCTTCTTAAATCTTTATTCTTTGTTAATCTTGTTGATTTTTTGTGTTACTGGTTTTGTATTTGCTAACAAAACGAGATAGAAAAAATTTCCTTTATGAAGGACTGGTTCCCGTAAAAAACTTCCCACAAATAGGCTACTTGTAAAGATGATCGATTTCCAAATCTCAAATTTCAATAACAAATACACCCATAAATCACGAATTAGATGGCTATTTGTATGTTTGACTTATTTGTACATCATGAGTATCCCACAAAAACATTTGTGCATCTTACTGTTGAAAAAAGAGAGTATTTCTTGGACAATTACTGATGGTCCTGGTAAAGTGGTAAAGAGAACTGACTCGAGGGAACTCTGGGGTGGTTCCTCGCACATGGTGACTTGGAATGCTAGGCCAAACACCTACGGCTCCATGGTGACTTGGAATGCTAGGCCAAACACCTACGGCTCCATGGTGACTTGGAATGCTAGGCCAAACACCTACGGCTCCATGGTGACTTGGAATGGTAGGCCAAACACCTACGGCTCCATGGTGACTTGGAATGGTAGGCCAAACACCTACGGCTCCATGGTGACTTGGAATGGTAGGCCAAACACCTACGGCTCCATGGTGACTTGGAATGCTAGGCCAAACACCTACGGCTCCATGGTGACTTGGAATGCTAGGCCAAACACCTACGGCTCCATGGTGACTTGGAATGCTAGGCCAAACACCTACGGCTCCATGGTGACTTGGAATGCTAGGCCAAACACCTACGGCTCCATGGTGACTTGGAATGCTAGGCCAAACACCTACGGCTCCATGGTGACTTGGAATGCTAGGCCAAACACCTACGGCTCCATGGTGACTTGGAATGGTAGGCCAAACACCTACGGCTCCATGGTGACTTGGAATGGTAGGCCAAACACCTACGGCTCCATGGTGACTTGGAATGCTAGGCCAAACACCTACGGCTCCATGGTGACTTGGAATGCTAGGCCAAACACCTACGGCTCCATGGTGACTTGGAATGCTAGGCCAAACACCTACGGCTCCATGGTGACTTGGACTGCTAGGCCAAACACCTACGGCTCCATGGTGACTTGGAATGCTAGGCCAAACACCTACGGCTCCATGGTGACTTGGAATGCTAGGCCAAACACCTACGGCTCCATGGTGACTTGGAATGCTAGGCCAAACACCTACGGCTCCATGGTGACTTGGAATGCTAGGCCAAACACCTACGGCTCCATGGTGACTTGGAATGCTAGGCCAAACACCTACGGCTCCATGGTGACTTGGAATGGTAGGCCAAACACCTACGGCTCCAAGGTAAAAAGTGGCATTGGAGCTGGAGCATATAGGGTATAGAATGGCGTGGACTTTATAGCCCTCATGTGTATGAATCCATCAGTGTTCCAATCAAAGTTCTGCATCAATGGTGTGTGTGATCTAGAGAGACATGGCTTCAGAGATATTGACAGCTCTATTTTCAAAAATAACTAGGCTGCACTCTCGGGAGTGCAAATACAAGTTGGACAAAACAGTATCTGTGCTAGGTAAATACAAATGGGGACTCACTGATTGGGCCCTAGGCACTCAGGGATAGAAGTGAATGAAGTGGCGGACAGTGACAAGCTGACAAAGGCCTCAGTCTTAGACTCTGCAGTACCACAGCCTTTCTGTGAAATTTCTCGTAAATATGCATGTCATTCAGTCATGTCGTGGGCTCAGGAGGAGATGCATAAGGCTTCAGCATCAAAAGTTAAGCAGGCTCACTCCTTGGTGTTGTCTCTGTGTCAGTCAGTTGCCTCTTAACACTCTGCAGTTATGGTTACCTGAAGAAGCTTCTCATCACAATGGAAACACGTTGGCAGGTGGACAGTATAAGAAGCCTGCAGACCATTTACTTTATTACTGGACAGTTTTGAATGAGGTTAGAGAAAGGCACTCTCGGAACTATGGTAAGGGGGAGACACTTTCCTCATGTTGAGCTTAAATTGAGGATGCTGCAGTCCATCAGACCTCATGTTTGACATGCTCTGAGCGAGAAAGCATTGGCAAAATTGTTTAAACTGGGGCCATGTATAACAAGAGAACTACTTGTTTGACAAGTTTGCTCAACACCAAATAACAGCATTATATGATTGTTTCAGATGGTTTGACAAGTCTTTCTCCTTAATGGTGACCAAAGACGGGACAGCTAGTGTCAACTTTGAACACTCGTGGGGTGATGGCGTCGCAGTGCTGAGGTATTTCAATGATATCCACACTGATATGCTGAAACACTCTTACGTTCATCCAGACTTGACACCAAGACAAGATCCTCCTGTACGCAAACTAGGTATGAAGTTAGTGCTCACTTAATTCCAGCTGTGAAATAAATGCATGGTGTTTAAAAATGAACATGAATGATGAACATGAATTACATCACTTATACATTTTTAACTGTCCTCCATCCTTAATAATCCAATCCAAACCAAACTCTCAAACAGAATACATGTGTCTTAGTTATTTTTAAATCTTTTTCATTCGTTTTGATAAGGTCATGTGAATACAGTGACCAAAAGAAGTAGGATGAACTCTAGGCAATACTAAAAAGTAGAGATGTGCGAGCGACTTTCAAGCCGACCTGGCCTACAAGCTCGAGGGATTGAGCTCAAAGTTGGAAGTTCAAGCTCAAAGTTGGAAAATCGAGCCGGAGTTGACCTTTTACAATCAGAATCGTAAAACGTGTCTGCAAAGTTTGCGCAATCTAAAAAATAACACTTTTTCCAAGATTGCGTAAGACAATGATTAAAGACTAAGTGGAAGACTATGAAGATGATATCTCCGTGACCAAGGGAGAAGATGATAATAAGTACAAACTGCGGCCGGGAGATGCTCAGGATTTTGCCGTGATCGCAGATGACGATGATAACGTTTCCGTGACCGAGGGACGGTAATTTATACAAACCGCGGGAGAGAACGATAATGTCTACCATCTGCAGCAGATGTCTAGGATTTTGCCATGACCGCGGGAAACTACGATAATGTCTACTAAGTGCGAGAAATGTCCAGGATATTTCCGCAATCGCAGTTGTAATTTTTGTCAAATTTTAATGAAATTTAGTTTAAAGGTGTAAGGCTGGATAAAATTGAATGAGTTCATGAACCAGCATGATCAAACCATGGGAACTGGGTTTACGGGGGGTTTTATGGACAGAGTAAAAAAAGGTTTTTCTATTTTTTTACCCTAAAACAAAAAATTTCCCAATTTTTTTGGGACATTTTTACAGTTCTTAAAAAAACAAATAATTTAGTATACCAAAGTGTTTTTGTACGGTTATTGGTAAAGGAGAAAATAAAAAAAAAAACATGTTGTAGTTTGCTTGTTTATGGATATATTTTGATCAAACTTGGCAAAACTATTTATTTTATCCTAAGCTATTAATATTTTACCATACAACACACTTTATTAGATTCCTTGTAGCAGCAAACCTAGGTACTCGTTAAACCTAATGTCATTTAAATAGATTTGATTAAAAATCAATTCAGACAAATGGAAATTCGCTTAGTCGGCAGGTTTGCTGAGGCAGGGTATTTATTGTTGGAATAGTTAACAATTTATTGTTTTAAAATTCACTTGTATTCTTCATCAATGATCGTGAAAATTTTAACAAAAAAATGGCTTTTGAAGAAAACAAAGAGATGAAATTTATTATAAACTTACTTTTCTGTTCCATTCTTTATCTACTGAAAAAATGTATTTTACTCTAAACAACAATATTAAATATTATCTTTTAAATGATTTTTGATTAGGTCTGATTAACTTTTAGCAAATTTCCCATATAGGGAATAAGCTATTACCGTAGTACTCATGGTAAGATCTGGACCCGGGACCGATTTAATTTTTCGTTTTGAGGTCCCTAGAGGCCAAAAACACCATCCGTTCAAATTCATATATATGTCCGTTAGCGCGATAACTCAAGCAAAAATGGTCCCATTTTTATGAAATTTGGTACAAACGTGTAAACCTACGTTTATTGAAACGAGTTTGCGAACGGACATAATCGGACCATGGGAACGGGGGTTTATGGGGGGTTTTGTGGGGTAAAAATGGGTTTTTCCCATTTTTGATCCTAAAAACAAAAAAAATTGCAATTTATTTTTAAACCGTTTTGTAGAGCTTACAAAAAGAAATAGTTTAGTATATTGAAGCGCTGTTGTATGCCTAAGGGTCACATAGAAAATTCAAAAATAGTGCAATTTAAAATTCCCTTGTTATACTTATGGAGAAAATTAAAACTGTTGTAGTTTACTTGTTTATGGATATATGTTGATAAAATTTGGCAAATTTATTTATTTAATCTTATACTATTGACGTATGGTAATAAAACATTTTTTATCTTCCCCGTAGGAGTAAACCTAAGCACTCGTTAAATCTAAAGTTATTTACATTGGGGATAAATATGTCTTATTTACGGAAATATTTTAGTTAAAAAATGTAAACAGACAAGTTGAAATTCACTTAGTTCGGGTCAGGTACTGAAAAGATCACTTCAAGTTCGGGTAACTTTCGGGTCAGGCTCAAAATGACCAAAATTCAATTTCTAAGTATTTTTCGGGTTTTTATTGATATTTTAGCAAACAAATTAATGTTTCATGCCTGCGCTTAGAAATATTTTATTTACCAGTATCAATAATATAAAGATTAAACATTTTTATTTCAACACAAGATTAAACACAAACTTAATATTTTGACATAGCCTATTGCAAGTTGGTAGGCTTACTTTACTTGACTTTACTACTTTACACAGAGGCAAAACAAAACCTCTGTGTCTTTAGGATAAGTTAGGCCTAGCCCTACTTAAATTTGTTATTGTTGCATCTTAAGACTGTCAACCACCCTCTATTATATCTTTCCCCAATATAGTCTAAGCACTTCAGAGACTTTTTGCAAATAGTGTACTAATTCCCTTACAGGTAACACTAACCCATAATTAATTTGTCACGAACAGTTAAAACTACACTGTAACTCCCAAATCTGACAGGGCCCGACCCTGAGCCCGAACACCAACGCTCAGCTCAGCTGAAGTATAATTCATTTAAAAGTTAGTCCTACTTGTCAACCATGCAGCCTCACAGTTGTAATAATACTTATTGTAGTGTCTGCTCTGACAAGAGAGGTATTATTAATTTTTTGTAATTATTTGCGCACAGATGATGCATTTCTTGCTAAGTTAAAATAAAATAGTGACTTAATATAAACATTGTATAATGTATTTATTCATTTTATAACATATTTGACAATTTATTCTGACTCATAAAAAAACCAAGAAAATTGAATAAAAAATATGTAAACTTAATTTTCCAACACCAGGAATAGGCCTAATATAAAGATATTTAAATTGTCCCATACCAACATTCTTGGCAGTGACTGTCCAGATAAGTTTTATCTTTGACTATTAATACAACGTCAATGGTTTTATAATATACTATAATAATTAATTAAGCTATAGTACGTGTAATGCAGACGGAGTGCCTGCAAGCAGACAACGACGATATTGATGTAGCCAAATTTAAGGATCGGAAGAACATTTATGTGACTTATTTAGTCAGTAGTTGGCAGTTATTGGATGGTGTTGATATATGGGGTTAGGAAAATTATGAGCTCACAATTTAGGTTTTATTTATTTTATTATTAAAATATCTTCATATATAAGGCTTGAAATTGTATGCGGTAATTAAACATTAAAACATTAAAATTTTTAATAATAGGTTACCGGATTACCCGCTTGAAATAAATTTGGGTATTTTTTCTACCTGCCCGACACTTTGGGTAGTGCAAAATTACCTGATTTTCAAGTCCGAGTCGGGTACCCGCAGACCCCTAGTTATTACGTTAATTCATGATACGTAAAAGCCCAGTTCGGCTCGCCATAAAATGTGATGGAATATTCGGTGTGGGGACAAAATTGATTATAATATCGTGGTTTCATAAAAATGTGTAATAGTTTTGTCAAACCAAGATTGGTCATACCTTAAATTTTTCGAGATAGACTAGCCTACAATGAGATAGTCCAGAATTCTAAAGTTTACATGAAATCATTATCGTTTCGAGTTCATTGTCTCAGAATAATAATTACAACAATGCTGACAATGTTTAGCTTACCTTTAACCAGTGCTCATCATAGCTACTCAGAAAGTATTGGAAAGCTACAATTTTGAATAAATTATCGCGCGAATAAGAATGCAATGTAATAGTTTTATGAGGTTTAATGAAACTTGAATCGTGCTCTAATAATAACTCGGTCAATCGTCAGATTCGTTCGTAACTAACTTAAATGGAATAATACAACGTGAAGTTTATAACACGAATTCAAATAATAGAACATAGTGCTAGTTTATAGAAATAATATAATAATAGTTTATATTATTTGGTCTTGGTAACCACCAAAGCCTAGTTAAGACAGAATCTACACTTACTTACTCCTGTGCACAGAATCCTGCCTTGAACATGCGTGATCTATGAAAATACTAAATATAACTTTAAACGTAACTGGTAGTACCAGTTTAATTTGTGATTTTTTAAATATTAGCTAACGCCAGATATTGTTTCGTGGGGAGTTCATATACGTACTGCCCGTGGCGCTTCTTGAGCGGTTCTCTCCTACCGCCCCCGGCGTCGGGGTTGGGAACTACAGTAATCCTTTCTATCTGACATCACCATGTCCAGCGTTCTTTGCGGCTTTTGCGTGAAACAAATCAACGTATTTTGGATGACCGAGAGATATTACCCTACGTTAATATTCGACCCGTTACAAATTGATGATTTAATCGATAAAAATACTTATAACATATTATATTTAAGACAAGTTTGATCCATCAACTACTACGTACATAGAAGATGCTAAGTGATAAGACCGTCAAACACAAGAGATCATCCAGAACGAATGCAGTTTTTGAGTTCTCCTTAATATTTACCAATCCTTATATTGTATATTTTTATGGTCTGGTTTAATTTTAGAATACCTCCGAAAGTTAAAATATTGTTGGCCACATGAATCTAGTAGGTATTTATATTTGCAATTTTTAAAACTCTTGAAGACTATTTTCTGTTTTTTAAGAGGTTGACAGCCTCTTTTAACCTTACATATGCCCGTCCACATAGGCTATGAACCTGTGCGTGGAACGTATCCAGCAAACCAATGGGTGAGCAAGCACAGTGCAAGAGTGAACTGTGCTGATTAAAAGTAGTGGCAGTGACCAGGATCTAAACCCACGGGCCACGACATCGCTGACTTGGGCCCGAAGTACGTGACGCTACCGGCTGAGGCATCGACTTACCAATTACTCTTTTTACTTCTTAGATTTGTAAGTCGATTTCTATAAGTAAAATTCTTACTGTTCCTCTATAATCTTACAACCATGATTTTAAAACATATGATTTGATGATTCCTGTATAGAATTCAATCTTGACGAGAAGGCTAGAGAGATGATAAGGAACGCTCAGGAAAAATACGACAAGACTTGTAAATCCTTGGAGGTCCGAGCAATGGATTATCGCAAGTACGGCAGGCAAATGTGCAACTCTGTGAAAATGAGTCCAGACGCTCTAATGCAGCTTGCTTTCCAGGTAAATATTAGGTTGGTTTCCCAACACTGCCTAAAAGTTTATAACCATTACTAATAAGGGTAGGCCTATTTTAATGGTGATTTTATTTCTTGTCCCAACCAATTTCTGTTTTTTTTCTTCAGTATTTTTAGTTAACTTTTTCTCTGTTCTTGAGTATGCAACTTTTTTGAGCCTTCTAATTTTTTACAGTTAAGTGTTCTTAATTTTTACACAAGCTGTATGGACTTGTACACAACAAGTAAAAATTGTATTGATTAATGCAGAAAACTAGTTTACACCGCACTACACTGTTTTGACGAACTTCCCACGTAAGGATTTAGTCCAGAAAACAGCTGTTTGCCGTCAACTTTATCGGTTTCATTACGTACTGCTCTACTGTAACAAGTTTTTACCGGACACCAATCAGATGATTATACTGTATTTGGAAATAAGTGGTTATAAACAAAAACATAACCTCTCTTGGATGTTATGACTGGTGATTGTTAGTCCTTTAGTCGGTGGTAATATATAAGGATTTGTACAGGTTTAGTAGTATGGCGTAAAATATTGTACGTCACTCGTCCAAAATGTGTTTACCGGACTCGTATGGTAATCCCGTACTCAACTTTGTCTCGCACGGAAACGACCACACTTGTCCGGTAAAAACCCATTTTCAGGACTAGTAACATAATATACTATTACAAAGAGAGTTGTTAATAACTAGGACTAGGGGTCTCCTGCAGTGCAATGCACCACAAATATGTTTCATAATAAGCATCAAAGATATACAATAGACATAAATACATAATAGTCCAGGAAATAAAGCCAACAATATCATCAAATTAGGAAATAATTAAAGCCAGATTTTTAATCCATTTTTACCTTCTATTAGGTATAAAAAGCAAATACAGAAAGTTCCCCATTGATGGTGTGTGCAGATTTGCCAATCTACTGGTTAAATTAAAATAATTATAAAATGATTAAAAAAATCTAGATAAGAATTTTTTTTCTTTCTTACTAGTAGACTAATTCAATAAAAAGTCATAAAACAGGTTAATCATAAATTATTGCATGAACTTCTAATACAGTACGTAAACCACACACAGAATAAGTTTGCAATGTAGGTAGTTCTTTACTTAATCTCTAATTTTTGCTTTTTTCACAAGAGGCCTCTGATAGTTCATTTCATTATAAAGAGTGTTTCACCGGAACCATGACAAACTTCAGGAAATAGTTCCTGGGGTCAAAACTGAAAAAAATGTCCTATAATACAATATAATATCCTATAATGTCCTAAGCTCACTCGTTTTTAGTTATAAGGAAAAAATTGGTTTTTTTTAGGTTTTTAGTCGATCTGTAGAACAGTTTCCCTCTAGATAAAAAAATTGACAAGATATTTTTATAAGACTTGCATTGATAGAGAGAAAATTAAATTTCAAAGAGATTTCATTACTATTTTGGGTAAACATGTTGGTTGTGGCTATTAAAAATAAAATATTTTCAAACAAATCTTGATTTAAAATTATTTTTTGTTTTAAAATAGCTCTTCATGTGGTAACCATTCAAGCTTTTGGCTTGCAACTTTACCAAAAGTTGTAGAATTTAACAGAGGACAAGGAAATGTGAATTTATCCATATGTACCATTTATTGGGATATTTTTTTACAAAATCTAAAATATCAAATCTTAATTAAATTAAACTAAATAAAGAAAATTGCATATTTAGCTTATTTTTTAACACATCCTAATAAAAGTTGGTATATGGGTTCTCCTAGTTGATAAGTATTGCATAATGGCCTAAAACTTCCTTCTTTTTCATTTTTTGTGATAGAAAAAAGGCATACCAGTACTTTCCCATGTTATGGAGAAAAAAAAAATACAATAGCTCGCATATTTCTAAACATATCTTATTAAAACTAAGTATATCCCTTCTTTTAGTTGAGTACTACGTGATTATGGCCTAAAATCTCTAGTTTTATATTTCTGCTGCACAAAGCCTGCTTACTCCCATCCTTTAGAAAAAAATTAGTTTTTCCAACTTTTTGTTTGTCTAATGGACGTTTTAACTTTAACCTAAAATAGATATAATATTTCAAAAAAAGTGTTTGTGGTTAGATAGAATATTCAATTTTAATTAGATACCATTACTAATTTGTGCAGAAATATTTACTGTGGTACAAAAATCTTTTGAAAACCAATACAGTACTTAATAAAAAAAACTAGATAAAAAATATGTTTTTATTTTTGTAGCAATACATACTGTAACCTTTCTAGCATTGATCTAGCGGATATTTTAGGCCACAATCGTGTAATACTCGACCAAAAAAAGGGACATACCAAGTTTAAATTAGATGTGTTCAGGAAATATGCGAGCTATCGTATTTTATTTTTTACCCATAATGTTAACTTAGGAAAGTGTGTATGCTTGTTTTCAATCATAAAACGAAAAAGAAGAAACTTTTGGGCCATTGTGCTATACTTACTTCTCAACTAGGAGAACCCATATACCAACCTTTATTAAGATGCGTTTAAAAATAATCTAAATAATGTGCAATTTTGTTTATTTCGCTTGATTAATTAGTTTTTATATTTTACAATATTTTAGATTTTGACCAAAATTATCCAAATAAATGGCACCTATAGATAAATTCACATTTCCTTGTTCTCCGTTAAATTCTACAGCTTTTGGTAAGGTTGCAAGCCAAAAGCTTGAATGGTTACTACATGAAGAGCTGTCAAAAACAAAAAATAATTTTAAATCAAGATTTGTTTGAAAATATTTTATTTTTAATTGCCACAACCAACATGTTTACCCAAAATAGTAATGAAATCTCTTTGAAATTTAATTTTCTCTCTATCAATGCAAGTTTTATCAAAATACCTTATCAATTTTTCAATATAGAGGTAAACACAGATACACTGAAAACCTAAAATAACCTATTCTTACGTTTAAATAGAAAACGAGTGATTTTAGGACATATAGGAAGTTTTTTTTTTAGTTTTGATCCAAGGAACCATTTCCTGAAGTATGTCAGTGTTCCCGTGAAACAACCTGTATATTTGCACATAAGGCCACCTACCAAGTTTCTTTAAAATGCATTCATAAACAAGAAATGTACGAGTATATTTTATATGTACTGTATAGCATATGAATTATTCTCCATAAGAAAAACATGGGAACTGAGTACAAAGGTTTGCCGCAACAAGGAATACAAAATATGAGTTTTTATGCAAATATTAATAGAACTCAACTAGGTGAAACATCATAAAAAGTTTTATTAATTTATATTCATGAGGGAGACGTAGCCTTTAATTATTTTCCACGAGAATAGCATAGGGGCTGAGTATGCAGGTTTGCTGCTACTGGAGCATTTGGGGAAAAAATGTTTTTAGAGAAAATATCAATAGACCACAACGAGAATAAGCTGTATACCAAGTCCCATCATTATACGTTCACAAATAAGCGAGGTATACAACTTTTCTTTCCTCCATAAGAATGACATTAGACAACATACTGTCTTTAGCACTTTCAATATCTCGGTAACCAATTGGCGTAGAGAAATGATCAAAATAACAATTTGTGTGTTTTTTTAAGTTGTATTTAATGGTAACAACTAAAATTTGAATCTTTCAAACTTTAAATATTAATTAATTAATGTCAATTAATGTTAGTTAATGTCAAACTTTAATGTTAAATTACTCGAAACCCCCATTTTTGGGGTACAAAATCCCCCCAAAACACCCCTTCGGATTAAGCGATCTGGCTGGTTTTCAAAGTTTAAGTCTGATATGGTACATTAATTGTTTGTACCAAAATTCATCAGAATCAGACCATTTTTACGAGAGTAATAGCTATTTTCCTGTAGGAAAAATTTGCTATATGCTGTTAGAACATTTTACGAAGATTGTGAAATTCCCGCACACACAATATTTGGGGAACTCTTCATTTTTGTTCATTAGACCAAAGTAAAGCCATCCATGAAAAAAAAAATCCGGACTTTAATTTTTCCCTAGTCAAAATCTATATTTCCTGGACTATAAGTTAAGGTCAATTATACATATTAGTGCTTATTTTTATGTGAACCAAACTCCTGCATAATTTACTTAACAACTTTCTAGGGGTGTGCGAAGCAGCAAAAAATTTTCGATTCGAAACAACGATTCGATTCAAAAGATTTTCGATTCGATTCGATGCAATTCGATTCGAAGCAACACGGTATTTTTCTATTCATAATTGTCAATTGAGTGGATTAACAATAAATTAAAATTTACCACATTTATGTAAGACAAATTTTTGTTGATGTGGTATTACGCCTATTCATACTTAACATATGAATTTTAGGTGAACAAATATTTATTTTCAATCATATATTAGAATAGCCTGTATTGCTGGAAATACCAGTGAGCTGCTTTACTTGCCTATTTCATAATTTTTACTTGGAATTGGCTCAACTGCAAGAAAGAAGAAAATCTTTTTTTTATCAAGACATTCATTCTCATTTTAATAACTGTTTAAATAACTAAATAGGTAGCTAAATTACAACAAATTTGAATGGAACTTAATATAAAAAGACCATTAACAAATCAATTAACATATCACAAGGGCCTGTGGACCGGCTTCAGGACTGCAAGCAAGAAGAAAGTAAAAATAATATGTTTCCACCATGCAACATGTATCATTCATTCCCTGCCTCCTAACCTCCTTAGTATAATAACCTCACACTTACATTATTTGTTACATCATCATAAATAAAGAATTACCATCTATTATTGGCATCAGTAGGCCTACAGCTTTACATAGGCATTATTTTTTATAGGGCCTAAAATAGCAATAGGCTAGAAGCAACATGACAAGTGGAGAACTCATTGAAAAAAAGATATTGTGTAAACTAATTTACCATAAAACTCAAAAACAGTAAATAACATACAAACATTGTTTATGGCAGCCTATAATTAGTAAGGACTAAAATATGCATATCATGTCATACAGTAGTATAGACCTACTGCAAGAGATTAAAATCCTAAAACAACTGATTTTGATAGCTAATGAATGAAAAGAATTAAAAATCCATATAATAAAGCCAAACAATATCACAATTAATTAGGTACCCGAAAAGTAACTCTTAAATAATATATAGAAGATTAAAATAATATTAAATCAAGAGATAGTTAAATGCTATCTTCTAGCCTAGTGCCCTTGGCAACACAGGTCAATGTTTTTAAACTACCCTCAATGTTTTTGGAACAGCAGGGTCTTTTTCTCTGAAGGAAGGGTATGTCAACAAAAACAATGAATCACTTTCACTAGCCAGGCCCGGGCAACGATGTGTGCATTCAAGGTCATAGACCCTCCCCCTCCCCTCTTACACCACCCGGTTGCTTCAATTGCTGACAAAATGCAAGTGATGAAACAAGGAAGTAGAGACAACAAAATATATTTCTTTATTCAAAAACACAAAACTGTTACAGATCATTTTCAAAGAAATTAATTCATTGTAATTTGTGAGTTGTAAATATTGTATTGGATCTTAGAAATATATATTTTTTATACCCCATCCAACCAAGATACAGATCTTTTTACTATATCAGATATTTCTTTTGTTTATATTATGTAAAATACTAAAATATATTTTTAATTAGGTATGGAATAAACAATAAATGATTCAAGTAGTATGTCTGTAAAAATAGTCTTTTATTACTTTGTTTTCTTGGTACTGTTAGTGTTGCGTCACGGCTTTTGTCTTGTCACTCTTGTCAGTAGACGACTAGACTGGATCTGGCTAGTGGCAGTGCGGCAATTGCTCTGTTGTGTCTTTATTCTTAAAGGTCGTGAGCTAATTTAATTTTTAATTCTCATTTGAACATTTTAATTCCCCTGTAATAATATATATAATAGGCCTAATATAAGAGTGTTTCTTTGGAAATAAATTATTCTGTTTTTCTCTGACCTGACCTGAAAAATTCGGGGACCCACAGACCCCTAACAAAAATACCAAATTTATCAGTCTAAAACATCAATAACACAGACAAGGGAAACAAAGATTTTTGTTTCCTTAGTCAATGGTATTAAGTAACAATTTTTCAGACTTATTTTTAGAATTTAAATATATATAGATTTTTCAGGCTTATTTTTAGAATGATTTTGGAGTAGCCTATCTTGTTTTGGTATGGTTTACAGTAGTAAAACATGTCTCACACTGCTTACATCAAGACAAAAAACAAAACCTCTCATCATTTGCAAAGTCAAAACAAAAAATTATAAAACAATAATTAAAGCTATATTTAATGCAAAGATTGTATTAAATAAGAACGCCTTCGTAAAGGAAACGCAACAGCAACGCGCTCCTGTATTGCGGGTGCAGGCGTTTTTCGTATATGGATACTGACTCCCTCATGAATCGAATCGTTTTTTGACCACCACTGAATCGAATCGCGATTCGATGCATCGAATCGAATCGAAATTTCGATGCATTTTCAATGCATCGCACACCCCTACAACTTTCGTTTGGGAGTCAAACATTGACTTAGGTAATCAAACATCAAATTACAGTAATTGCAAGTATACATATGAAATAATCTTACTTCATTATAGTTCCTGCTGCTTTGAAATGTCGTTCCCTGTATGAACAGTAAACATTTATTTCATAACTTTATTTGTTCTGAAATTTGGCAATATATTTTACCACCATGACACATGATGTGTACATACCGTTAGTTTTATTTTTACTCCCAGAGTAAAGCATAACAAAACCTTTAACCTACACATATTATTCATCTCACCAAGTGATTGGATATCTGAATTCCTATCCAATAGAGCCAGGTCTTTCTTCTGGTACTCTTTTAAACTGTATGAGATCCATCGCCAATAATTTCCTCCTCCTATTTAGAATACTTCTTTCAATGTTCCAGATTGCCTATTATCAGATAGCAGGTACTCACGTCACCACGTACGAGTCTTGCAGTACAGCAGCATTCAAACACGGCCGCACTGAGGCCGTTAGACCTTGCACCATCGAAACCCAGGTAAATGCTTTGAATTTAATTAAGAAACTTATGTATTTATTGTCAGACACGATCTGCGATCACGATGATGATTAAAGCTCGGCTCTAGCTCTTACTCACTTGGTTTGATTTCTAAACTTTGTAGGCTAGGCTGAAGTCGTACACCTGTACTTAGGTGGTCAGACAAAGTAGTTTCAACATTTTATCAACCTGTAATTTTGGTGATTGTAACATCTCAGAAAGTATGGATATGCAACAGACAGTACACAATGGTGTGACAACGACAATGGCACAAATCTCCACTCTCCAGTTCCTTGGACTGAATTTAAAGACCTATTGCTTAATTTAAAGGAGTGATTTAGGTTCCAATTATGGGGAAAACAGTAAGATTAGATGTCCCTAAGATTAAAATTATCATCCTTTAGTGAATAAAAAGTAGTTCTGAAGGCTGTCTTAGAGTCTTCATTTTGAAAATATTGCAGCTTGAAGGATGAATTCAAATTCCGTCCTTAACTTATGTTTTATTAAAATTTGGCATTACAGTGAGAAACTAGTGTATTTTGTTGACAAATAGTATAGGCCTACATTTGTTGTTACAGAAAGTCTGCAAAGCTCTAAGTAAAGCTTCACCTCCTAGTAAGAAAGAGCTCCAGGAAATGCTGTACAAGTGTTCCAAAGTTCACTCAAACAACATTAAAGAAGCTGCTATGGGTAAGATTAAATTGCTCATTTCCATCAAATACACAAGATCATTTATTAAATAATACAAGATAATTAGTCTAGAGCCTACCTTAAAAATAAGAATGTTAACTGTTTAAATGCTAGCAATAATTATTCGTAATTGAGTTTTACCATAATAACTTGCTTATGGGACGGGACGTCTGTGCCCTTTCAGCTCTAATATGTTGTGCTGGAAATATACTTGTGTGAGCAAGAAAGAGCCTGAGCGGCGAGCACTGTGCAGAAATGAGCATTGTAGTGTAGTACATGAGGGCGAGGGGGGCAGTGTTGGACTTTGCCCTAGACAACAGTTAAGTGTACGATTGAATGTTTCCTGTGTAAAAAAAATAAAAAACTAACGTATTATTATGCAAAAAGTACATACTTTTGAATTTCCTTGTTCCAAAATATTTGTCTTACATTAGGTCTTTAGAAACAATTATAGATTTTAGTTTACATTATTGTAATCATTAAATATGTTTTTAAGTACAGTAGAGTCTCGACTATTCATCACTGAGTGCGATCGAGTTCATGAAATTGTGCGGTATTTTTATGTGGTATCACTACACAGTATAGTATATAGAGAAAACCCCTTATTTCCGCCCTCTGTCTCAGAAAAAGTTAGTGTTAAAATCTCAATGTGCTATAATAGAGAAACGTTATTATTTTAAGGATTTTTATGTTTACATGATTTGTTTATTACTTTTCATGTTTTCTGGCCTTTCTGCATATCTTACCTTGCAACGGCTAGGACGAATAATTAAAAGTCTACTGTATCTAAAATAGTCTCCAATCTATATTTACTTATTTAATACGCAAGCAGGTTTTTTGTGACAATTACTCCTCCGAAACTACTGAACCGATTGACATGTTTTTGGTGTCATTGGAAAGAGCGTAATGTGTAGTTGTGCAGGAAACTTTCTTTTTAGGCAAATAATTAGAGAGTGAGGCCCTAGGGCCCTTTAAATTTTCGTATTTCTCCATAAGATCAATATGGGAAACAAAAATTGTTATGAAACTCCAGCTGTTGTTAGAAATTAAAAGTGAGAAGAAGAACATATGTTAATTGTAAACTGACAACAAGATTGTTAATTTAACAGTTTGCTACAAACAATTACTGACTTGGTTGAAATGAAATATTTACTATTTGAATTTGGGTTGGCGTAAATATTACAATGGAAAAAATCGAGAGAGCCTGGATAAATTGATATACTAAAAAGAAAACTGAATTACTGTGCTGCATTTCATAATAATCATTGAAAGAGCCGATTTGCAAACTATGGAAACATAGGAAAGGCTACACCACCAAGGAGAAGAAATAGAAATAATGTTTTTTTTTAGAATTTATAATCATTATTATGGACAACCTAATGCTATGAGTAAGGCTATTTGTAGAAAACACTAAGAAACAAGATCATCTTTTGAAAAATGATAAGATATTTACAAGAAATGTTGATTATATCGATGTACATCCTTGAGTATTTCCATAATCTTCGATTAGAATCTTTTAAAATCATCAGAAATTATGGATGTTATTCGTTTTAAAATAATGCCTGTAATACTTAGCAATTGGTTGAATTCGAGCAACAGGGACACTAGTATTTAGTAATCCTTGATGATATTCCAATTTGTAAAGACAGTTTTTGTTTTCAGGACAAGGGTTTGACAGGCATCTGTATGCTCTGAGACTAAAGGCAGATTCGCTAGGTCTGAAGCCTGAACTGTTTTCTGATCCTGCTTACGCTGCAATGAACCATAACATCATGTCCACCTCCACACTGGCTTCTGAAAATCTTCAAATGGGAGCCTTTGGTCCTGTTGTACACAATGGCTATGGGATCAGGTAAGATATCCCTTCTTTAAGAGATAATTTAAACATTCATCATCGTAAAAATATTACATGTAGAATAGATTTTGTTTGTTCTCAAACAATGTCAGTCACAGTCCGTTATGTTATGGATTTCAGTCGGTTTTATAACTTGCAACAGATAAAAAGCACTATTTGACCTTTAGAAGTAGTTAATATACTACAAATAAATGTAACTAAAGAATTAGGGATGGTCAAGTCTCGAAATTTCGGGAAATTTTCGGGAAATTTTTAATCTCGTTACACGAGACGAGATTACTTTTAGGCCGAGATTTTTATCGAGACAAGAATAAAAAAAAAAAAATTTAAAAACGCCTGCAGAAAGTCAATGCAATACCCGCAATACAGGAGCATGTTGTAGTTGCGTTTCCTTTTCGAAGGCGTTCTTATTTAATTAATTCTTTTAATGTAAATATTACTTTAATTCTTTTAATGTAAATATTACTTTAATTCTTTTAATGTAAATATTACTTTCATTATTTTAATAATATTACTTTAATAACATTTGAGAAGTTTTGTTAAGTGTAAGCAGTGTGAGGAATGTTTTATTACTATAAAAAAAGTCAAAACAAGTAACTATTTTATAAAAATTAATATTGCTTTTATTTTATGATTTATTTTATTTTAGGATAAGTTGAACTCTATCCTAACTGATATCACCATGTTTCCTAATCGTAGGCATTTTTAATAAGTTAGGCGTGATTAATAAAAAAATGTTATGCTGATGTTATTTAATGAAAGATTGTAAATATTCTTGCCTATTATCATTATTTTAGTATTTAAACAGTCATCTAACAATGTTACAAAATCAGGTAAAAATTTCGAACGTGCATTTCCCGTTGTGTATGAGAAGAGAAATCTCGTCTCGATCTCGTCTCGAAATTTTATGAGAAATAAAAAATCTCCGTCTCGTCTCGTCTCGAACTAAAAATCCAATCTCGTCCATCCCTATAAAGAATGGCTTTGAAAACAAGGCTGAATTGTGGTAAAAGATATAAATCAGAAAATAAATAAGGTCTCTTTACACATAGGATGTTTAGAGTTTCCATTACATTCGTGAAATATATTTTATCTTCTGAGCAATCATGAAATTGAACAAACAATCTATGAATCTATTCTATGGGGTGCTATATAGCTTAAGTCAATGCTTCTTTAAAGCTGGAACAAAGGAAATGTTAAAACAAAACACATTAATAAACAATTTTTTACTCTCTTGACATATAGACATTTTTTGGTGACAGGAAACCTGTGAAAACCTGTAGCTATAAAATAACGGGACTAGGTTTCTAAGAGACAAACTGCGTAAATCTGGAGGTCAAACGCCATATTACCGAGTCACCTGATATCCCACATCAGGGGCTGATCCAGGGGGGCGATAGGGGTGGTCGCCCCCCCCCCCCCCAAACACCCACAAATATATTTTTTTACTCCATTTTAGAGCAAATTATTGGAAAAAAACCCCGCAAATATTACAAAAATTAATATCAGTAAGTCAAATAATAAAATGTTAAGTCAAATATACAAAATGCCCACAGTATATTCTTTTTTACATGTACCGGTATTATTAATAAGTCTTGATTTTTTTTTATTGAATGAGAATGAAAATTAATAACAGACTCCCGTGTCCCGTTTTGTCACCCATTGCGGCCGATGAACATAAAAAAATGTCGTCGTCTTTCTATAAATGCCATTACCGTTTGTTATTTTCGTGTGCGTGTTTGTGTCTTTTGTGAACTGTTAGTAGTTTTAACCAAACATACTACTGTTACTACTGTTACTGTTTGACGTCCATTGGACTGATGATTTCAAACTGGCCTGCCTGATTAAACCTAGGTCGCAGTAGTCGACTTACGTTGCACTGTGACTGAAGGTATTTAAATAAATCGCTAAACCGCCGTTTCCAATAGTCAACATGAAGCCCTGAATTAGCTGAACAGTTAGTATAAGTTAGCCGGGGCATTGATCACGCATATATAAAAATAACCAGCAAAACTTAGCGCATACAAACTCGCCCCATTTTAAGTCAGTGACACTCGTACGCATAAGAAAACCCTAGAGAGTTAAAGGATCAACCATTGATTATGTATACTCACGAAGTGTGTTTATAGTTAATAATATACACTATTATCAGCAAGTAATAAAGCTCTTTATCTGCTAATACAAAATGTACATAAAGTCTATCTAGAAAACACAGGTTATGTAATAGTTTTTAGTTTTTACGAGAAAGGAGTTAAACATTTTTTTTTTTTTTTCTTTTAAGAGGTTGGCGGCCTCTTTTAACCTTGCATTTGCCCGTCCACATAGACTAAGCGCCCGTGCATGGATCGTTTACAAAATAAATTTTAAGGCATTTCAATTTATTCTGTGTGTATATTGTAAATAAGTAAAAATTGTTTTGAACTTTATTCAATCAAGTTTTTTTATTACCTATTTTCATGTCTTAATCACGGTTGAATCTTTTTTGTTTGTAAAACTAAAATTGTAATTTGGATAAAGAAAAAATCACCTACATCAGTGTTTGATTTTGTTTCTCTGATATATCAATTTTGCGTGCTCAATAACTAATAACAAACATTAATAAGCTAATTCATTGACCTTCCGGCCAATTAAGTTATTGACACAGTAGGTGCGCTTTGGTCTAACAGTATACCTTAAAATAACCTACTATAAACTATACAGACTGTCCCAAAAGTCCCGGACCGGTTTAATATTTTCTAAACGACAACAGATAAATCAATAAGATTTGGTACATCAACACCACACTTAAAAATCTACTTTTTTAAGGAACTATCAATTTTCTGTCATATCATGGGGACGTCCCTCAAGGAGTCAGAAGGAAATCTTAAAAAGAAGCATAGGTTGACATGCACATCAAATTAAAGACCTTCACTAGTAGATTACAATGCCGTAAATTCAAGCTCAAAAGAACGCCTGAGTAAAAAATGGCAGCCGTTCAAAGATTTCTTGAACCTGCCATTTTGAATCTTTGAACGACTGCCATATTTTACTCAGGCGTTCTTTTGAGCTTGAATTTACGGCATTGTAATCTACTAGTGAAGACCTTTAATTTGATGTGCATATCGACCTATGCTTACGTTAACCATTTTTTTCCGATTCCTAGGGCTGTGCCCCCAAATGCAAATTAAATGAATCTTTGAACCACTGTCATTCTTGACTTAATTGTCCGTTTGAGTTCAAATTTGCGGCATTATACTGTATTCTGCTAGGAAAGACCTTTAATTTGATGTACATGTCAACCTATGCTTCTATTTAAGATTTCCTTCTGACTCCTTACGGGACGTCCCCATGATGTGACAGAAAATTGATATTTGTATACAAGAGGTTAAGTTACCTTGATTCTGTCTGAAATAACCCGGAAGGCAATACACAAGATGAAATTGATATTTCCTTAAAAAAGTAGATTTTTAGGTGTGGTGTTGATGTACCAAATCTTATTGATTTATCTGTTGTCGTTTAGAAAATATTAAACCGGTCCGGGACTTTTGGGACAGTCTGTATTATGTTTATTATACAGACTGTCCCAAAAGTCCCGGACCGGTTTAATATTTTCTAAACGACAACAGACAAATTAATAAGATTTGGTATATCAATACCACACCTAAAAATCTACTTTTTTAAGGAACTATCAATTTTCTGTCATATCATGGGGACGTCCCGCAAGGAGTCAGAAGGAAATCTTAAATAGAAGCATAGGTTGACATGTAAATCAAATTAAAGGTCTTTACTAGCAAAATTTAATGCTGCAAATTTGAACTCAAACGGATAATTGAGTAAAAAATGAAAGGGCGTTCAAAGATTTCTTGAATCAGCCATTTTGAATCTTTGAACGACTGCCATTTTTTACTCAGGCGTTCTTTTGAGCTTGAATTTACGGCATTGTAATCTACTAGTGAAGACCTTTAATTTGATGTGCATATCAACCTATGCTTACGTTAACAATTTTCTTCCAATTCCTAGGGCTGTGCCCCCTGAGGAGTAATTAGCAATGCAAATTAAATGAATCTTTGAACCACTGTCATTCTTGGCTCGGTTGTCCGTTTGAGTTCAAATTTGCGGCATTATATTCTGCTAGTAAAGACCTTTAATTTGATGTACATGTCAACCTATGCTTCTATTAAAGATTTCCTTATGACTCCTTGCGGGACGTCCCCATGATATTACAGAAAATTAATAGTTCCTTAAAAAAGTAGATTTTAGGTGTGGTATTGATATACCAAATCTTATTGATTTATCTGTTGTCGTTTGGAAAATATTAAACCGGTCCGGGACTTTTGGGACAGTCTGTATATAACTATATAAAAAGTGGATAGTTTTATTTATGTTTTAGAGGTTAAGTGGTAGAGAGGACTTGCTAGTCCTAACTTTGCCTCTTAAATAAAGACATTTTTGATTTGATTTCATTTCATTATACCTTCGATTACCCGGAAATCATTTATTCACTCAGATCGTGCGTGGCCTCTTAAGTGCAAGTTAAAGAGTCTTGAGTCTATTTCATATTTTAAAAATATGTCTCTTACACAATAATTAAAGTGAAACACATTAAATCATTTTCTCTTTCATTTCAATAGAATTTGAAATCAAGACACATCAGTTTGAAGAAAGTGTGATTCCTACTTAGAAATGGTGGGCTTTTTATTTGGTATGAAGATGAAAATAGTGGTATGGGTTTTGGATATTTGGGTTGAGGTAAATGATGGCAACCAGCAACCCCCCCCCCCCCCCCATATACAGGTCTCTGGATCTGCTCTTGTCCCACCTCCACATCCCGGCCAAACAACTTGTTAATGTGTTCGGCCTTGAGGCTCACCACAGATTTGTAAGACAAAACAGAGGGTACACTCTGTGGGTTGTGTAGCACTAGTGCTGGTGTCTAGAGCAAAATCCAACACCACCTCCCTCGCCCTTATGTACTACAACACTCACGGTGGAGGAAGACCTTATGCCCTGTGCGATAAGAATTTCCACACAGTGCTCACCGCACGGGCTCTTCTTTGCTTGTCAAAAGTATATTTTCCACACAACAGACGAGAGCTGAAAGCGCACAGTTTTCCCATAAGCCTGTTTCCTCTGTACCTTACTTCCCTGTGGGCACACGCAGTTTGTCTCAGAGAAAACCAGTCCTGTTACTTTATATCCACACTCCGTACTGTATATTTTGTCAGAATGAATGTCATGTGTATCATTGTTTGTAGTTATTCATTGTGGAGTGACCGCCTAGGCAGCATAGTGACCAACTACGAGGGTCAGGCTGATGGAGCAGGCTTCATCTACGCCCTGGAGAAGGCCCTAGACCAGCTACAAAACATCCTCAAGTCTTAATAGTATATTTCATCACTAGGGCATAAATTGACTCTTTTCGACACAAGCTCAACTCATTGTACAATCTCTGTGCTCTGCAAGTTTTATGAAGAAAGCCATGTAACATTAGTGGAAACATCATGTTAATGGTCATGCGAGTCACATTAACAATATTCACTATACTCGTGAAGGCATTCAAGTACATTTCACTAATTTCAGTACCTTTTGATTTTTGTAGATTTTTATTTTGACTTAATAATTTGGTTTTAGACTTTGGTATGATAAAAGTTAATACAAGAGTAAAAAAGTATGAAAAAAGTAAGGGAATATTTTGTAGATGTACTTTGGATGGCTAGTGTCACTAAAAAACTGCTATTTGAATCAAATGGTAGATAAATACTCTTTAGTTTACGGTGAACATAGAACGGAGTATAGGTCAATGCTAAAGTCTGAAAATGAGCAAAGGTCGATAAGTAATTATGGTCAATGTGATGAACTATTTTTTTATACATTATTATTATTTCACCCAATTAATCCACAAAACAGAATTTTTGTATGTATGTTGTTTACCTTTATGAATTAGCTCCCAAAATGGTTTACATTAAGTTTTTCCATCAAGTACAAACATATGTTTCTGTTTAACACGTTTGCTGCGGCATGTCTCCGATGGGAGACATCAGCTACCCCGCCTGGGTGCACATGCCTCCGATCGGAGACATTGTAATGCGGTTATATTTTGTCTAGCTATTGATAACGAAGTATCATAAAATGGGATTGTATTATTTGAGTTACCTTATGTTGACCCATCAGATAATAAACTATTTACTGGTTTACTTATTGATTTAATGCAATTTTTTTGTATAAAATTTAGGCAAAGCTTATCACATTTTTAATTTTTAATGCTTATATTTTTTACCTGTTTTAAGAATTTTTAACCGTTTTGCATGTTATTTGCCATTGTTGATTTTAAACAAATTATTTAATCGTGCTCAAATACCAAAATATATTGTTTTAGTGTTAATTGTATCAAATCATATTATTCTGATTATTGATTGTTATTTGTATTGAAATAAATATATATATTTTTACAACTGTTGAAACGTTTATGCACTTTTTACTTCCTCTAGATGAATGTTATGTACTGTGGAATCAGAATGTGTTCTTGCCTAAGCACATACATTTGGCCAAGCATTGGCTCTTAAACATTATACATTTTCTCTATTACACAGCTATATAATAAGAAGAGGTTTAAACTAAGAATCTTCTAAGGGGTTTGGGACTTGGCTGTGATTTCTGCATTACTAACTGTAGAGGCAGTCCTAGAATTATGGTTTTATAGGTTTGTAATTACGGATTTCAGAAAGTCCACAAACTATCTGAATTGCATTTTCTTCTGGAAGGCTAATTGTGAAGGGGTAAGCAGGATTCTTTGGAATTTTTTTTTAATTTTGCTGGAAACACCAGCTTACATTGTCCAGACATGGGCTGCCCAGGAGCGATTGTGTGTCTCTATTAATATATAAATTGTTATTGAAGCATACGTCATTCTTTGTGGTTCAAACTGCAACTCTTTAGTCAACGTGGCATTTTCTGCTACTCTGTTCTTGCTCTGTTAGTCTGAGCCAAGTAATTGTTGTCTACTATGTGGGTCCCCGGAATTATATCCCCCTGGAATTTTACCCCCTGGGCAAAGCTGACGTCACTATGACGTAGTAACCTGAGCGCTCAAAAGTGTGTTTGCGGGCGGAATTTGACCTCCACGGATTTGGAAGTCTAATGAAAATAGACAGAGCGTGATTAATTAAATTAGCAATAAAAACCGGAATTTTACCCCCTGTCCATGTAACTAGCGTTTAGACAACTGAAGATGTACGGGCCAGATTTTTACCCCTTGACCGGATATAGAAATTATTAAGAATGATTTAGTTTTCTATTTCTGTTTTTATTTAATTAATTGTAAACATTTTATTATTTAAGTGGCCTATCTTAATTTATTTATTTTGTAATCTCAACTAAGTTAATTGGGTGAACATTTCTTTGTAAAGAAACAATAAGGCATATTTTGTTATTGTTACAATACAAACAAACGAAAAACATTGTTTTACCATGGTTGTATAATAAACCGTTAAAGAAATCTTCGAATCAATTACCATTCTGATGTTTGTTTATACGTCATCTTAAACAGATATGGCTTCAAAGATCGAATCCTAAAACTTGAATCTCAAAATTAAAATTATAACCCCTGTTATTCCTGTCGGATTAGTTGAGTTAAAAATAAATTGAGATAGGCTACTTAATAATAAAATGTTTACTATTAAACCATAACCGAATGAAGATAATTAACCATTCTCGCTAATTTACATATCTGGCCAGGGGGTAAAAATCTGGGCCGTACATTTTGATCTGACCTCATGAAGGGGGTGAAATTCCGGCCGGTACACTCTAGGTTTTTATAATTTGATGAGTTCTGATGAAATTCACAACCGTGAAAATGCGTTTAATCCATCAAACTGATGTCGCAAAACTCAAAAGTTCGCGGCTGGAATTTTACCCCCTGGTTTGTGACGTCACGTATGCCCAGGGGGATAAAAAAACCGCTACCCCTACTATGTGTGTGAGTAAGAGAGAGAGGGAGGGTTTTTTGCATGAAGTCCTATATTGTTGGCTTCATTTATATTATCTGGGAATATACAGTGTTGAGCCAAGTAAATTGCTTTTCTTAAACTTACAGGGTTGTTACATACTGGTACGCACATTTTAAGATGTTTGCTTGTTTTTGTTTTTACTAAAATTTGTTGTAATTACATTATAGTGATCACATACTTTCACCTGCCCATATTTGTATGTTGTATGTTCACCAGCATGATAGTGATGAGGTGAATGAACTAATATTTTATTACACTGTTAATGTCACTTGAACATAAGAAGGAAATTGGTTTTGCATGAATTAAGATAAACAGTGGTTTTACAACAGCAGAAATAAATAACAATGACACTACAACTGGCACACCGATAGCAGCTAGGATCCCTGCTGAGACCATGATATTGTCAAGTATATTTGTCTGTTGTGTGGTCAGGGAACAGTCACAACAAAACAAACTCATCACTTCATTATGAGTGTCAAGCTTTTATTGTGTGGTCTATTGTACATTTGTTTTCAAGGTTAGTTCCATTATATCATATTTATTGTTAAGTAATTAAATTCAATTTCTTGTAAAACGTGTTAAACACTACCGATATGCAAGAACTATTCAACATGTTATTAAAAATAAGTTTGTTTAGGAATTTTCATGTTGTCAAAATGTATTTTTGCATACAAAGATCTAATTTTGTGATATATTGGGGTATTTGTGGTTTAAATTTAAGAATTAGGACGTATACCAAAATTATGGGTGCAGAATATTCCACGCAAGGACTAGTTTTACAGTTGAAATATTGTGGCTACTTATATAGGCTACGTTTTGTAGGCTAAGGAAATAAAAAACCAAGTCAAACGATGAACTTGAGGCTTGGCTTAAATGACAGATTCTATTATTTCAAACAAGTATAAGTTTAGTTCGTTGACGTAAATGAAATAAAAGTATTAGGTAGTATGCAGAATGTCCAACCGGCAGTTTGAGTGACCTTTATAAAATCCGTGAATTGAAAGTAAATTGTGTTTAGGTCTGGGGAACATGAACTTTCTAATGATTGCAGACCATAGCCTATGGCAGTGCGTGATTCTATTAATCAACGAATTTCTGTTTGTTCTTTTTTTGATGTTGGCACGTCAAGTAAGAACATCACATAGACGTTGCAGTGATCACGGCAATCATCGTCTGTCATAATCTCCCGTGATCGTGACAACATTTACACCAACATATATACCTGTGATCATTCCACCTCGATCACGGGACCCGTGAGGTGGAATGATCACTTGTATATCGTCGCAATCACGGGAGATGATGACAGACGATGATTGTCGTGATTGCGGTGGGATGATCACCTATATTGTCGAGATCACGGTAGATTGTGACAAACAATGTTGCCGCGATTGCTTTTCCAATTCGTGGGAGGTTTTGTGTTTTGGTTTGACGTATCACTAATGTAAAGTAACCAAACATTAAATTTAACTTGGCACACAGGGACAGAATTAGTGTTTCCACGTCTTCAGTGAAAGGGACGACTAAAATATTCTGTTTTACCAATATTTATTTGTTTCTTAAGGGGATTTTACTCAATACAATTTACGCAACAAATGCAATAACTATCCTTTGACAATAGGTTCACCAAGTGTTCTTGTGTTTTGTGAAATAATCTTTTGACCAAACACGATTACTTCAATTCTTTAAGTAATGAATCGAATTCGCACACTCTCTTGTAAAAGAATTAACCACTTGTAAGTTATTTTTATCAAATGCAAAATGTTAAGGGATTTCAAAGTATAATTAATATTTTTTAAATAGGTAGCACACAACCTTCTTTATTTTTATTATTATACTAATAATATTAAAATATCTTCTACGATATTACAGTTTAACTTTTCCTATAATACTGTCGATAAAGTGGCTTTTGCAGGGTCCTTTTTTAATTTGCATTATAAATAACAAAACATATTTAAAATTAAGAATATATCCATTGTTAAAGGATGCCATTTGCATACGGGTATTTAGTTATATTTTCAAATTATGATCATGAGCATGTCACACATTTCATAAAATTGAAAGATAATCACTCATTCCTTAGCTTGTCGAAGAAACATATGTTAGAACGTGTTTTCTATCCCAACGTAAGTACTATATGCATGCTATTGGGTTTTTTTTACAGGTATCTGGACTTTGCCAAATGTTAAACCATAGACAGTGCAAAAGGGGATTGGTAAAATTTAGAATAAAATTAATATTTCTCACTTTATTTCAATAAATCGTAGGTATCTATCTAATCTAATTCTAGATGTAAATTTTATTTTTTTATTTGAAATTTGATATCCAAATTTCAAGAAAGCAATCAGAATAATAATGAACCTACATCCAGATACATCATGCAGGGAACATTTTAAAATGCTAAACAAATAACAGTTTATGGTCAGTTTATTTTGGACACTATTATGATATTTTTAAATAATAAGAAGGATACAATTTGAGAACAAGAAACACACCATTACAACACACGAAAAAAGAATTAAATCAAACTCACTCACCATAGACTTGAATTTTACACAAAGAAGCCGTCTTACAAAGGAGCAAGTTATTTCAGAAAATTGCCAAAAGAATTAAAGTGTCAAATAAACAGTTCCAAATTCAAACTAAAGTAAAAACTTCCTTGGTTTGCAAAGTATTATATTCAATAGAAGAGTATATGAATAATTAAGCAAATGTTAATTTAAATAGCTAAGTTGACACTATTCAGATGTACCAACATGTACTTGTCTTGTATGAATAAAGATATTTTGATTTGATATCCGCTTTAAGTATCGTATTATTTTAAAATTAATAAATATTTAATTGAAAGTGAACTATTGATATTTTATATTTATCTATAATATTATTTAACATTTAATCAAATTATTTTATATTTACAAGTAATTGAGTTTTTTAGTACAACATTATTTATGTTCGAAGTAAAATTGTCATTTTTAATTATTACAGACACAGCCGATGGGATTCCAATACATATTGCAGAAAATGACGAGGTATGATTATAAAATAAACTATATAAAATATAAACTAATTGTCAATGATTCGTTTCAATGTATGTTAATACTTATATCTAGATACAAATTAATATATAGATCTAGATATAAATTAATATCGATATTTGTACATTTTCCATGGATAATGAAAACTACACTTACCCTATTAAGATATAGATAGGTTCTTTAGGCACAATTTAAAATTTTTAGCCTTAAATATTATAAACTATTAAACACCTATTTATATAAAGAACTACAGAAGCGTTTCTAATAATGGAATTACAATTTTTAATATAAATTACTTACAGTGAAATTTACAAAAGTTTTGCACATTTTTGTACTATTTTCAGCATGAAAATTTTCTATTAGAAATTTGTTATTCTTAACATTTTTATTTCTTCGTTAAGTCCCCATACTTTGGTACCAACGAGTACTTTTTAAGCTAAAAACCTACATATTCCCTGGACAATTCTTAATTTATTTAATCTTTAAATTTCTATTTTTCATCGTAATTCTGATTTATGTTGCACAATGCTTTATTTTCCCATAGCCTAAACATGATATTGCTAAGAAACTATTCAATATTAAATAGATTATTTTATAAACCATGAATTATATCTCACTTGATTATAAGGCATCTTGCTTTGGATCGAAAATTAATATTATCTTAGTGTGGCCAAACGTTTTACGGTTATTCTATACGAGAGGTTGCCAAAATAACCCTTGGTCACTGGTTTTGACCATCGATGTATAATAACCCCCTGGATTGCGCTCTCGGCTCTATCGGGCCGTTGCTACCAACGATCACATAAGACCAAATGTCATATGTGATCACTTGGTCTTATGTGATCGTTGGTTGCTACCTCGCTCTGTTTGCCAGGAGTGGGGATAAAGCAGAGAGCACAGACTACGGGACAAAGGAATCGAGCGTCGCGCCCGCTTGCTATGTTAAGATTTGTGGAAATATTCAGAATAAAATAGATTGTAACGAGCTTAAGGGGGTTTTGCAAGCAGATATAATCAATCTAAGTACTTGCTCACACTTGACAATAAAGGGGCATCGCCCAAGGAGTGGAAGAGGGAGCCATCCCCCCAATCATCTTTTAAAAGAGTAAAAGTTGGGAATTTTTGGGTATTTGAAGCTATAAGTTGGGATTTTGGGAATTTTGAAATTGTTGTTAAACTGTCAACATAAAATATAATTTCAAACCAAGCGGAAATTTACCCTTATAAACTAATAATTAAAGTAAAAAAGTGTTGGAAATTTCATATGTTGAGTAGCATGGTACGTTACGTAACGTATCTTTAGTACGTTACGTATTCAACAGTAATTCAAGGCTTTAAGCCAAATTTATTTCTGAGCTGCGCATAGAGAGCCGTATCCACTGAGTTTTTATATAAATTGGTGTTATCCAGGCTGAAAACTTAATGTATTATTGATCAGTAGACCTTAGTGTGACCATTTGTTGAGGCACTTAAGACATAATCAACAATGAAGATTGACAGTCAAACCAAATAATTTGAGAGAAACTTTCATTTCTTGTTATTTGTGTATGTCATCTATGAAGAGGATTTAAAGGTAAAATATCCTTCTTACTGTAAAAAATTCATATTAATTACTTGGGAAATCTGAGTAATATAGTTGAAAAATCGAGTAATATAGTTGGGAAATTCGAGTAATATAGTTGGGAAATTCGCGTAATATATTTGGGAGATTTAAAATGGATCCCCAGTCCCCCACCCCAATATTCTTTTCGTGCGGCGACCCTGTCTAAATGCCGTAAACTAACTGATGCCGAGCCGGATGAGCTCCTTGTGCCAATGCCGCGCCAAACAATTTTATGCTCATTTTCAATCGCTTAAAAATGGTACAAGCAAACTCCGTATTAAAAAGCTTTATATAAAAATAAATTCATACTTTAATCTAAAACTTTGCCGCAGGCATTTTTTCCTGACCAAAAAATAAAGTTCCTCGCTTACTACATTTTCATGTTTTAATGGTGTTAAAAAACTATCAAAAGTTTTAATTTACCGAAATAAATTATAAAACATATGTTTAAGTTAAAACTAACTACATAGTAACGAGTACTGGCATTTCCTGAAAAATTACATATAAATTTTAAATTGTAATGTTTACAAATAAGGTGTTTTGACAAACTTAAGGTGTCAATATCAAGCTGTTTAAGTTGCCTCTTCAAGGATAATAGAATGTTTGTTAGGTTCTCGTATTGGGTATCTGTTGGAAAATTTCAACCTACAATTAATGGCAAATAACAATATAAAATTAAGTTTTAGTTCGTCGAGCAATTGAGCTTATTACTAAACATAATAAAGTAGCCTATAATTTCAAAGAGGGGTTAAACGAATCATTGTTACAAAACCAAAATGGATACCATAGTCCATATCGAAACGTATGTCTTGAAAAAAACCTACAGCAAAGAATACTAAAATAACTTTAAAGTCACTTTCATATCCTCTAGATCTTATTCCCTAAGTGTTGCTTTATAATAAAGTGGCATATAATTTGTTGGTTTTAAAGTAATTTACTCAATTCAATATAACTTATTTAAAAGATAATGTCTGACGTTGTTGTATCTCTTCAGATGAATTTTTCGCAAATTTATAAATCCATCAATGGCAGTTTAAACTTTTAGCTGCCTAATATAAATTTTTCGTATTTACACATAAAATAATTCTACTAATTGATCTACATTCTATAACAAATTAGGGACCCAAATAGATCGTTGAACTGATCTGAGATTACGATATAAAACATCATCTTTTTATTCGAATATTGTTTTACGTGATTTAAGACTTCTTGTTAGCCTATCCATAGTAGGGGTAGAATTAGTTCATTGTATTGTAAACTCGTATTTTAGCTAATATAATTTTCACAAACTGACAACACACTTTTACATTTACAGGATATTCTTTTAAGCAGAAACACAGTGAACATTGAAAATCAAGAAGAATACTCTAACACCACAACGATAAGGAGTGTTGTGTTCGATAAACCGCTGGAAATAAATTATGCAAGTGAAAAAAGGACATTTACAAGTTTGTCCAGAAGTTATCCTGAAGAGGAAATGAATGAACTTGACGGCCTGATTTTACCAATCAGGTTACGGAAAAGAGATACAGAAAAAGAGTCATTACTTGATCAGATTGGTGAGAAAGGTGTTGATGAAAATGCAAATAAAGAAGCGAGGGCTTCGATACCATTTTTACCAAAGCAGGAATCAGAAGGCCAAAGTGGAAGTGGAGGAGGTTTGATTCCAGGACTTCCTTCTATGCCTGGACTTCCAGATGCTTCCAACACTCCAGTGGCTGTTATGGGCGGGTTCCAGATGATTCTCATGCCAATGCCGGGACTTACCATGTCCAATATAGGGAGTGCCATGCAAGCTGGTCAACAGCTATCCCAGATGGTCCCTGGTATGCCTTCTATCCCGGGCTGACTTCACTTGAATACTTGAAGGCTACATGAAATTAAAATGAGTTATTTTTTTAATATTGCCTTTTGGATTACTTCACAAATTATCTAAGAGGGAGTAAGTTACCTTTCCAAGTAATCAACAAATCGTTTATAGGACAACATTACACTAAATAGGTAACTTAACCTCTTGTAGGTAAAATGAGTTTGTTTATAAACCTATAGTTTTCCTTCTACCACTGAAACATTACGTTCCTATATCGTCATGTTTTATTGGAATCAACCAAATATTTCACTGAAAACAGTGATTTATGCAACCTTTGGCTATGACATGAGTGGTGTTAAAGTATAATTAAAACTAACGAAACTCTAATAAAAGAATATTACGCTACAAGGCCGGAAAGTTGATGTTTACGGTGAGAACATGGCAGTTCCGGCTCAAGACTTGCTGAGCGTAGTATTTCCGTTGACACCTTCCCGGTTAGTCCCGTACGATAATTTTCGTCAAAACTACCAACAAAGTAGGCTACTATTTAACATATAATATTTTTGAAGAAATTTCAACATATTAAAAAAAGTATAGTTTTTATTCGTTTTCAATATTTACTTTACTGTATGAGTGCAATGTGAATTGTTTTTGTTTAGGCTTTATGGTAGCTTCGTTGAGGGCCTACTGAAAAAACTCATATACCTCAAGGGTACAGTTAAGAGCTCGGTAAATTTCCCGAAATCCAGCTGACTTTTACCGATCCCTTGTAAACAACGACTTCCTTGTCTAAAAAGAGACCAGAAACCAGCTATGTTTACTGTGTAGTGTGTTGAAAACCATTCTAATTGTCAAAATGGTTGCCTATAAGGTGAATGATCCTTAACATCAAATATCCCTGGACATAAAATCCTCAATATTTCATATAAAAATAAACTATTTAAATCGTTCCCACATTCATTACACTCTTTTACGTTCCTTGCACCAACACAAGCATAGGGATTAGGCTTGAATGAAAATAATTAACACGCATAATTCTTCAACCAACCGAGTTTGAACAGTGGTGGGATGTGTAACATTTGAAGTTTTTTTCTCTTTAAATCGAATGGTAGTTTTCGGTAAATTAAATTTACAAACCTGAAAAGTGTTATCGAAGAGTCAATGAAGCTAAGTATTTTTATGGACAACGGCTGTTTCTAATGAGTTCCTAGAGGGGAAATACTGTAATTTTTAAATAATTGCAATAGATCCCTTTCTTCACAGCGCTTTGTAATATTCATAATTTAGTTTTGCATTTTAAAATAGAAAAAATAATGTTGACTGTCTATAACAGATCAGGAAATCAAAAGTAATATAAATCACAGAGCCGAATGTATTTAAATTGGTCATGTATCCCTCAAAAGATTGTTATAGCTTTAAATAAATCTTAATAAACTGTGAACTAGATTAGTTTGCAACTGCTACATTTATTTATATCTTATCTATGATTTTTATTCGGTCTATGAACTAAATGTCATTTCACATATGGTTTTCAATACAAAATGTGAAATTAAGTCTTCAAAGATTCCTCAAGAAAATATGAGTGTAAGAAAGGATATTTTGCAAGTTTGCCAGCTCGGTTTGGTGGCTTTAAACGTTGACATATGTAGGGTTTAAGCTGTCAGTTGTAAATCAGGTTTAACGGGCAAGTGACAGTGCGGGCTTATCATACATAGACAGCTTCCCCCCTACCCCTCAATACAACATTTGCCATAACTACAACACCTGGCAAATTACAAATGCCATTTTACTGTCATTTACAGTTCATAACGTGATTGAATATCAAAGTTGTCGGGATTTAACCACGAATACTAGAAAAGAAACCAGTATGGATCATAAACATAAACAAATTTACGTAACTGGTCCGAATACTATACTAAGGATATTAACACATGGCTTAGACATTTCCATTAACGCAATTTAAATAATGTTCATATACTATGCATGGTATAGGGAGAGAAAGTAAAAATTATTCCTGTTATGTTTGGTACCATAAGTTTAAAATTGAAACTAAATTGTATAGATCGTGTCAATTAGAATGGCGTGTGTGGGTTGAATGATGGAAAGGTTCCCAACGACATTAAAAATCACACTATACGCTAGTGTACATTCATTTATAGGTAATTAGTTGATGAGATGACCGTGCAAAATAACAGAAGTGACGATGGAAGAAGTGTTATTTCGCACACACGCATCCCACTGGCCAATGTAATTTACACGACCTATACTGTGCTAGTTTTGGTCCACCCTGGGGGTCTATTCCCAGTACCCGCCATGACTGACGAGCCTTCCCCTATCCGCCACCTGGGGAGGCGCCCGATAGGAGACTAGCAACTCCGCACGGGAAAAATATGGTAGAGGTGGGCGGAATCATTTCTACAATATTTAACCCTTCTAATGCCAGTTTATAAATTTAAAAAAAGTCACAAAGCAAGTCCTAACTTTTTAAGGATATTACATAACACTTTTCCAATAGATAAGAATAATTTATATTTACAAATAAAAAAGCACATGCAGGGTATAATAGTTCTGCTGATTCCCAAAAGGTATTATAGTGCTACTCCCAAAGATAAAAAATGACTCCGGCAGTAAACATTTTGTGCTGTTATAGTGAAATAAGAACCTTGTATTGAGGGACCTTCCAGAACAATCATCGTTAAGAAATGTTAACATAAGTGGAAAACGTAATAGATTATCCCCTACCCACCTGATACAGGCCACCTCTAATACTTAACCTAACGTGACTAACCTATACTGCCTATGAAGGTGTAGCCATAGAGATTAGTCGTATTTACTAACTGTAGGGGTATTTTCAAGAAGAGAGAGTCTGCTCAAAATAATGTATATCCTGGAAAATGCATTACTCCTTAATACAATATTCAAACGAACGCAATTAGTTTAATCTCTATAGGCACACCTGTAAATAATATATAGTTGACTACAATATATATTGAAGGCCCAGTTTTAAAATAGCAATATGTACCTTAGTACGTTAGTAAACTGAGTTAATATCCTGACAAAACTAAAAGTAAACAATTTAAAAAGTACTAAGGAGCCTTTCAAAGATTTAATAGTACATTAATAATATTAAAATGTATAGAATAACCCTTATTACTAAGGCCAAGATACCAGCCTAAACATATGAAAATTATTATATCTACTAAACCAGACAAAAAGTGTAACTAAACCAACCTGTTTTCTTAGTAACGATGCAGAAGTCACAGTAGGTTTCTTAATTTAATATCAACTAAACTTTGCAGCTATCAAACTCTTTTCACATTATTCACTGTTCCGAAGTTAACAAAAGTATAACATTGTTATATCTTTACAACATATATATTAATTTAAATTGTATTTCAAGTCACTCTTTAACCATTACCAAGTACTAAGAAATTTCATTTAGCAAAGCCAATTCATAGAATTAATGTTGGCAGATATATTTCCATGTATCCAGGCTAAATTAAAACATGTAAATCTAAGACAAACAAAATTAAATGCTTCCTACCTTTGGTTGGCTTCAGCTGAAATTTGACCGATATGATGTGAACAAAGGCATTTATATGGATTTTGCTTTGGGTTTTCTCCAATGCTTATTTAAGAAACCTTTATATCTTTACAGCTATGTTACTTAAAGCTCCCAGCTATTTATCATAGTATGGCCTACACTATAATTAACCTGTATATACACTTATTTTTTGTTTCCAAAACCAATATACCAATGGACCCAAGCATACCTCCTCTAATACCCATGATTGCCCATGATTTAGCCAAACCAATGTGAAAAATATGTTTTTTATTTCCCTTTACTACAAAACAAGTATGTTAAAACCAAAACTTCAAAAGGGTTATAAACATATGGAAATTGAAAATTAAAATTAGTAAAATCATTTTCTTTACTATCTTAAGAACAATAGAAAACGTTCGCTGATCCCTCATAGGAATAAAAAAGAAAATATAATCGCAAGATCAAGTTCAAGTCACGCTCCCACGGGCAAATTTCTAACCTGGCTGAGAACAAGCCAGGCATGTATTGAATTTCTATCTCAAATGTATCGTCGAAGAAATTCTAACCGATGGGAACAATCGATGAGAAACAATATTGTTCCCAGCGTCTCCAAGAAATTATAAGATGTATAGAAAATAAATTTACTTAGGTCAGCACCACGCCCTCTGGAGGCTGGTCATGAGGGAAGAAGCCAATGAGGACGCTGATCGGAAATTATCCATCGATGATTGGAGGGTATGCGTTTCCCCAAGACATTGAGGGAAGGACCGAGAATCGAAGGGGGGACAGAAGGTCTTGGACGGAAAAAGTTTTCATCAGTCTTGGAGAGGTCTCAAGAATTACCACATCAAAGAAGAAACCGTCGGGGGTCCCGGATCGAGTAGGGACAGTGACTTGATAGGATAGTCTGAAGCACCTGTTAAGATCCCGACCAGACTCAAGATCACGAGGACACAACAACCCCACGGAAATCTTCTAGACCAAAGGCCACCACCACACTACCAAGGACCACTACCAAAGCAACCCGAAGAGGACGGCCCAGGACGAGCGACCGACGACGAGAGGAAGGACTACGCCTGGATGTCTCGAGCAAACCACCCCGGAGTCTACGCCCGCACCAAAGGAACGCCCCGGGGAACCATTCATTCGTTGCCCAACTACCTCGCCTTGTGGTATGTCGAAATATCTTCACTCATTTGGTCATAGCGTGCACAACTTAAATGCTAGGGAGAAACCCCGTAAAATATAACAAAATCCATATATAAAAAAAATAAATACACTATAAGAAAAGATAAAGTGAATATATATAAATAAAGTAAATAAAGTTGATAAGTTAATAGAGTTACTTTAAAATTAATATAACAACTTTAACTAACCCTCAATTAAACTAAAATGGGTCAAACTAAACAAGAGCAATTTTGAAGTTTGAATAATACAGGATTCAAAACGAATCTAAGTAAATAAACCTGTTGGTTGGACTATAAAATATAGACGTGTATATTATAGAGACAATTTCAAATATTGTGTAAATAATTGAAAATTAGGGTGATAACCACGTAAACACGTATTTTAAATGTTTGTTTAGTTAGTATATATTATCAGAAGGATTACCTAACTTGTATTTAAATATTGGTTTTGAACTAGGATAGGACATTTCAAGTGTTTACAAGTTATATTATAAATACAATACAAGTGTCAAGGGAAATTTTCTTTAAATATCTTTGTATAAGAAACAGAGTATAAAAACCAAAATAGAGTGTAGATATTCAAGTATATTATTTCTGTTTTATTTGGTCATTTTACTATTCTCAATTATTATAATATCACTGTGTAACCATTCTTTTGTTATTTGATGTATTTTTATTTGAGATAATCAAGGGTGTTCACATTTAGTTTGATTTATTAAATCATAATATCATACTGACACTGGTGTTCACTTAGTCCAAGATCCTATGGGTCCTCCATCTAGCTAGTACTCTACTCTAAGCTAAATCTTTCCCCTTTGTAATTATTTTTTGTTTGGTCAACAATTTGTAAGTTTTCCTTTACCTTTACAGAGGAGTAGAGGCCAGAGAGCTTTACAGGTTAATAGTTAATCTAAGTATGCATTCTATTTCAAAATTAATTTTGTTTTGGATTTATTTTACAAGAATTGTACATTTTTACTGTCATGATTTAAAAATATTAATTCCATACTGGTCACTTGCGTACTATTTTTATTTCCACTTTAATAAATCTGTACGATATAAGGATTAATTAATTTTAATCGATAGCTTATGGCAAATTAAACTCTATGCAGCTTGATGAAGGTGTTCACATCATATTGGACTTTTATTAGCAAGACACAAGACGAAAACAATGAAATAACATATACAATTGCCAAGATACATGTACGACATAAAAAATGTTCAGGCATAACAGGAGAATATATACGTAGGCACAAGAAATGCTAATTTCGTTGACTAAAAACTGTCAGCGTCGATTCAAACAACATAGCCTATCTATATTTAAATCATCCGGTGTGTAGTTGGAAAATATAGAAAATTGCGTTTCTCGATAGTCTCCTTTCTGTTGATATTTTAGTTAACTGGCCAACAACACCAACTGACTAACACTTCTTCCCTTCACGCGGTTGAAATAGTACCAACTTAATGCGATGTATGTTTCTATAAGGCACTTCGAACCGGTAGAACGTATTCGTATAGTAAACCTACCCGAAGCCTGGATACAAGAAATTATTTAACACCCCAAACACTCAGAGATATAAATTCTTACCTTTGGTACGACTGCAACCACTAACCTGAGAACAAAGTTGTTTTTACTATTTATGTGTTTAAATAAGCTTTAAAAGCTTATCTAAGGAACATCAACAGATACTTTGACCATAGCATTTATTACAGAAGCTATCTTCAATAGATGTTTTATGTTGTATTAACCTATGGAAATTATAACACAAAAGGAACACTCTCCAATAAAATGGGAATCAAAAAAGCCTGCTTGAAATTCCTTCTTAATATTTTATTGACAATGACAACTCATAGAAATGTAAATTTTGCTTGAAATGCAATTTTAAAAAACGAGAACTAATTTAGTGTTACTTAAAGCTTAATAATGCACATTTTTTTAAACAAGCTTACCGGTACGTAAACATAGGAGATAAAACATCATATTTTGTATTTTGTTAAGAATATACCAACGAAGTATCTTCATTTTTGTGGCGTTATTTTGTTGTTGATGTATTTTTATCAATAGGCCTAATAGCATAAAAATATATACTATTTTCGTTCAGGCTAAATCACAGTTTAAAAAAAGCTCTTAAATGAGCTTGTTAGTAATTATCTTTATATAAATAAATGTGGCCCTTGTTTGGGCTATGCTATATTCAATTCTAAACTCCATCGTAATTGGAAATTGATTATCTCAAGGCTTGGTCACAATTTAAATACACCACCCTTCAAAATGTGTTTTATTATTGTTAGGCTAAGATTAATTTTTTATTTATTAACGGCAGCAATCAATGGTAATACAGACCTATTAAGTTAGAGATGATAAATAGGGCCAAAATTTAAGATAATTATCCCTAAATTTAATAAAACTAAAATTTTATAAGGGCTATCTTTTTTACAATTATGACTATGAAGGTCAAATAAAATAACTATGTTAATATTTTACCAAAAGGTTGAAAATATGTAGTTGCAAAAGTTTGTGAACGTAGCAAGAATATCAATTTTATCATTGGAAGTACCGTTTATCAACACTTCATTCGGTTTTAGTAGGCCTAAATAAAGCACTGATTCAGCGAAAACCTAATTAGTCATTTTCTAAAACAAAATAAGCCATATAAATGATAGGCCTAGAGCCATTATTGAATCATTCTCTTGTATGCTAGACTAGGATATTATCATAAAATAACAAGTACCTAGACCATTGCGTAATCAACTATGGTTTAATTTTTGCAGAAAATTTAAGCTTGTTTAATAATGCTGAATAATTGAAAATACATACCAGAATTAATACTGCAAAGAATCTCCAAACAAAGATGCATATCGTGACAGGAAAATCTGCATAAATAATATCACCGAATGAGTCACTTGACACTAACACTTTTCACTAAATGTCTACTAAAACCACTCACAAACACTACGCGATACATATACATTCACACCACAAGGTCACTACGAATACTACGCGTAGTAACATGAAAATACAACGTACAGTTCAACAACAGTTACAATACAACAATGAACCAATAAGAAACGAGCACGTCATGCGAGTAACGGACTTGCTGATCATCAGCTGATCAGCCGACAGTGAATTAGGTTTTTGGTTAGTTTATTAGCCAACTTTTTAATGCGCTACGATACAATGTATTATAATATAACATGAAAATAGGTAAATAGCTCGACACGAAAAAATATATTTTCGTTACAATGCAATTACGGAAGTAATCAACAGTCGTAAGTAGTATTATTTTCACTAATAGTTACTAAATTCAATGTAATATTTAGCTCAGTTCCTAATTTTGTGAATACCATTATTGAATTGTGAATATCGTAATACTGTGCTCGTACTATGATTTAAGAAATGTTAACTTTAATTATGCTATATTATAAGAAATTATTGTGTTTATGCATGATATACATTCGGATGAATAAAATTGAGAGTGTATTACTGTGAAATGGGATAAATATGTCTGTTATTACCTAGAGTATTTAACAGCAAAAAACTATAAATTACATTGCTAAACTACAGTCTTGAGCGTTGTGGCACAGACTATAGTCTATGGTTGTAGTTTTAGACGCGTCGCCGGCGCGGGCGCGTTGTTCCACGATCCCATTGTAGCGACGTTCCGCGATCCCAGTGACTAACGCGTCACAACAATGCCGGCGAACAGATGTTATCATGAGTTTGTTGTTGCCGAAATTTGTTGTGGAAATTTTCAACATAAATGCTCATATGCATATAATATTATTTGTTTTTGTAAGTTAATGTAGTTAGTTATGTAGTAGTTAGTTTCCCTATAGCTTTTACAAGAGATACATTTCGATATTTAGGTTTAAATTATTTTATCGTGGTTATTAAGCATTTCGAATAATTATTATGGTGTACCATACGAATTAATTAAAGTATTTGTTACATAAGGGTAGCTCTTTCTAAGACATTTGGCTGTTGTGCATAATTTCAAGTTAATTTATTTGAGGAACGCTATCGCCTTTTGTAATTATTGACAATTTCTTCAGATAAATCAACTAAGGAAGTTCAAATTTCTTTCATCGCATGAGAAGACATTCAAGTGCATAATACAATCAAAATGGGTTAAATAGTAATGAAAGTCGATAAACTTACGGGATTTTCCTTAATTCCTTCCTAATCTCAAGCTAAGGATCAAAATGGGAATATAGTCACATAATTTTGCGGAGGATATAACAATCTCGTTGGTTAAAACTAATGTCGATTTCAAGGAATCGATAATTCACATTTTAGCGGAGTGAAGAGCAAGCCTTTATGAAACAGCACTTTAACTGGGAACCGCATACAACCTATGTAAATCATTTGATTATACTGCACGTCAAAGATGTGGCAGCATTATGGTTATCACAGGATATGTTAACAAAAGTGCCCACATCCATCATTATCGATTTCAGTGAACATACTACTCGCATATATACGAGTAGCTCGAAATCTATTACATTTGACCATTGGATTCTACACTAATGATTTTTCCCTTACTGGTTCATATTGGTTTATTGTACAATTGCCATCTTCCATGTCTGTTCATCTGTAATAATAGGCTTACAATAAAGAAATAAGTATCTTTGGTAGGTAAATGTATAAACAACTTGGGTTTTAATCGATTTCATCAATAATTATTTCACTTGTAATATATTATTGAACACATCATGTACAGTAAAGACTATATAAAAGTATGTTAAGTACTTTTAGCCTGCATTAAGCTAGTTTTTCATTACCACTAATCATATTTTTAGAACACTAATCGATATATTTAAAGCTTTATTTTATTAAATGTCTAATATTTTCAGGAGTATTTATATCTGATATTTTTATTAGTCAACAATTTTGATTTCAAGAAGGAATAACACTTGGTATAAACCACGCTACAAAGTTGTAACATTCAATTTATGAGTACAACCCTTAAAACTAAACTGATTTAATAAGAAATGTTTAGAGAAGTATGTTTTAATCGTGCGGGAAATGGTACGCTAAGGGTCCTAGAATATTTGTTTAGGCAGTGTGGCGACTAGTTGGCGAGGGGCCTCCCTCGCCCCCTGCCACCCCCGGCGCCAACAATTCTCCAACATGCCAGTCTGATCCCCGCCACCGTTCCGTCCCTATGCCACCGATCTCTCGGCCAACTACGATTATAAAGGGTGCGTAATAAAATGTTATATTTTAATTTTAAATGTACATTAAATATTTTTAAATCCATCCCTCAATGTGTTTAACTGTTTAATGTTTCTTATAATATTGTTTTAAAGTGTTTTAAGGCTCTATAAGTGAGGAAATTAAAAATTTTGGGCCATAAATGTAATAATTTACATGAGTAGTAGCAATAGGTTACTAATGATATTAGGAAGTAGAACAGAAGTAATTAACTGTCGTCAATTTAACAAAGCATAAACTTCAAACAAAGCATAAATAGTATAAACTTTTGCAGGATACAAATTTGTATTGGGTGGTATTTAAAACTGCATTTTTTTGTTGAACTAAGTTTATCAAAGAAAATACTTAACTTGAATGTTTCAAATGTAGTTCCTATCCTAATGGAGAGATATCAGTTTCTACGACCTATTGCACGAAATTATCAAATTATGAGAAATCTGAGTTTAGTCAGATGACAATTGTAATATTTTGCAGAATTTTCAAGTTTTGACAATGTTACACGCTAAAGGTAATTCAACATTTAATGTTTTATATTTACATATATAAAAAATAGCATAGATATATACCATACCCGTAAATTATGTGTACAGTATAGATGTTGCAGCCCTGTATTATCTATGTAAATGTCCTTCTATGTTTAACTTACCATTTTTTAAATTACCAAATGAGTGCAGTGTATTGTCATTGATACCATTACTTAATTTTCTGATAGTTCTTTACATAAATAATATAGAAAAAGCCTGCAAGTAGATATTCCCAACAATAACTAAAGCTGCTGTTACAAATGGGCGCTAAGTGGTTGGGTTTAGCATTTCTTTGTTTGGAAGCTACTTAAAAAACTCCGTGTTTAACACTTCTGTCTATTTTAAAATCTGGTAAAATTATTATCTGTAGGTGTATATCAGCATTTTAAAACATATACAACTCATTCAAACTTTCAAATTTCCTTTCATTCAAAATATCTTTTTTGGTAATAAAAGTTTAGGATTATAAAAATGTATCAAAATTATTTATACAGCATTGCCAAAAAGTGTGTACACTTTTTTCAGTACGAATAGTCAGAATAAAATATTTACTTTTAAAAATAGTACATTTTCTTAGTTCAGTGTAATTAATGATATTAAAATAACGTTAATAATTTTGAAACAATTAAAATTCAAGCCATTCAATTAAAATTTCTTAACATGTATTTAAATTCTGTCTGGCAAACAATTTAAAATACGCGTTTCAATACCTAATAACACATATTGTGGAATTAGAAGCAAAGTGAGTTCTCCAACTAATGCAGCAAGTATTACGACTCCAAGTTATCTTTATCTCGGCCTACAGTTTGCCGGTTCACACCTATATATGGTAATATCGAATTTCCTATGCAAAACTCACTTTACACAATTTCCCTCATTAGAATTGATAACATCTACTTGCTCGAATATTGCTCCAACTAATCTGTGATACTTTTAAGCTAAACGCTGGTCTTTATATTTTTTCTTTCAATAGTACTAAGATCTTAGTACTCCCTTAATGCGTAGTAGGGTTACAAGTATTAAAATGTCTTTCTATTTAAATTGTGAAGGTTGTTGTGTAAATAAAAATAGAGAAGCCTCATATCAAAAGAAAAATAGACATTTAGAAAAAAATAGACAGCTCTTGATGAATTCTAATGAATGTTTCCACGAGTTTGATTAAGTATATATTTCTTAGAACTTTATCAAACATTTGGATATTTATGGAAAATACGCAAACTTGCATTATTTAATTACAATCATAAAAATTTATCTAATTTAACTATATGAAAAATAACCCCCCCCCCTCCAAAGTACAACCTACATCGTAACCATAGGGTATACCAAACCACAAAGTACTATACATTTTACAATACTTCAAACTTATACTTAGTAATGATTTGTGTACAAAAGAATCCTTTAAGAGGTAATCTCTGCTAAATGCTTTGAACAATCTTTAGACTGAATTCAATGAAAATGTAGTATTATTTTGTGTTGCGAGAATTTTTAATTCATAAAAGGTTAGAAATACAGGGTGGAAAAAAGTCCCGGGACGGTTAAATATTTCAAAAATTGATAAAGATATAGCTTCAAAACTTGGTACACAGTGCCTGGGCATTACAATGTTTTAACATATTCAGTGATGCGCTACCTCCTCAGGGGGCGGTCCGCTAGTAGTCAGAAGAAAATCTTAAATTTAAGCATAGGTTGATATGCACATCAAAAGGCCTTAACGAGTAGAATACAATGACGCAAATTCCAACTCAAACGATCAACCGAGTCAAAAATTGGCACCCGTTTAAAGATTTATTGATGTGCCATTTTGAATCTTTGAGTTGTTGTCATTTTTTACTCAGTAGTTATTTTGAGCTCAAATTGTGACATTGTATTCTAATAATAAAGACCATTAATTCAATGTGCATTTCGATCTATGCATACGTTTATGATTTTATTCCGACTTCTAGCGGGCGCCCCCCTTAAGAGGTACTGAATAATGTGTAAAAGAGATTTTAATGCCCAGGAACTGTGTACCAAGTTTTGAAGCTTTGTATTTATTACTTTTGAAATATTTGACCATCCTGGGACTTTTTCCACCCTGTATATTTATTAATTAAAATCTCAGAGTTCCCTTTTTGATATTTAAATGACTAAAAAAAAATTTAAAGTAAAGAGAGTAAATAAAAACATTTTTATCATATGTTAACTTAATAATTCCTTTGGCATAAATAGATCTTTTATATGATTGGTTTCGTTTTTAAATTACTTTAAAATTTGTTTTTCATACATAGGGTTTAGCTTCTGTTGTGTAGTTTCTATGAATTATTTCAGTCTGTGTGTATTACAGGGTGATAATTAAGTCTTGAGACGACTTCATAACTTTCTAACGAAAAGAGATATCACAACCAAATTCGGCATATCATTACTGGTTACAGTAACCTACTTTTTTGTGTACATTGGAATCGGATGTCACCTACGGGGGACGGCCGGTAAGTTAAAAATCTTAAAGGTAAGCATAGGTTGGTATGTACATCAAATTGAAGGTATTGTTAAACTAAAAACAATGCCGCAAATCCGATCTCAAATGGAAAATTTAGTCAAAAATGGCAGATGTCCAAAGATTTCTTGAATTTGTAAACCGCTGAAATTTTTTACTCAGTTGTTTTAGCTCAATTTTTTGGCATCCTACTAATGAAGACCTTTCATTTAGTATACATATCCACCTATGCTTACGTTTGTGATTTTCTTCCGTCTTCTAGTGGGCGCCTCACTGACGAGGTGGCGTTTTTATACAAATTATGCATATACATAAATATACATTATGCAAATTCAATGAATCTTTCAGCAGCAATAATTTTTGACTAGATTGTCCATTTGAGGTCCGATTTGCGGCATTGTTAAAACAATTGTTAAACAATCTTAAAAGTTTAACAAGATCTTTAATTTGATGTACACATCAATCTATGCTTACCTTTAAATTTTAAACTTACTCCCTATGGGCCGTCCCCCGTAGGTGACCTCCGATTACCATGTAGTCTACTAAAAAAGTAGCTTAATATTACTAGTAATTATATGCCAAATTTGGTTGTGATATCTCTTTTCTTTTTAAAGTTATTAATTCGTCCTAAGACTTAATTGTTACCCTCTATAGTATGAGAAGTTATTTTATGGTCCGTTTCCCCTTTATGTTCACATTCTAAAATCTCCACAATTTATTAAAATTTCTGTAAATGTAGTCATATGATAGGATGTGTTCAGAAAACATTGATTAAAGAGTTGTTTGGATTCTAGATTTATACTCCTTAATTAGGTTTGTTTAAGCTACATGAAATATAAATTCTTGTTTGTCCAATGTAAAAATTAAAACAATCTTTACAATTGATTTGTTGGATTCCAGATGTGTTTGCATTTTGTTCCTTGCTGTCGATCTTTGTTGAACATTTTTGGATCCATCAAAAATAGTTAGTAGTTTTCTAGCTCAGATTTTGCTTTGTTTTACTGTTTAACTTGTTATTAGAGCTTTTATATTTTTCCAAGAAGTTCTGAAACCTAATTATAACTAATTGTAACGAACGTCTTTGAATTACATATAAACCCAACAAATGCAGTTTAACCAATATGTTTGAAAGATAGTGTGAATATAGCGATAGATGCATAACATAAACATAGTATATGTAACAAACTTACATTATTTTAAATTTGGAACTTCAAAGAGTAGTTTTATTAACTGAAGCTAATTCTGCTCAAATAATACCCCAAACGTTTACCAACCAAATTCAAACTATGGATATGTATAGGATGGCTATGTACTCTCATTCTTAGTCCTAAACATGCTTAATCATAACTAAATTCTCAGTATTCTGACTGAGTTTCATCTTTCTCGCTGAAGATACCACATCATAGATTAGGTGTTACGTATGGGTTTGATATAGTATAAATTACCGATTTTACACAGCTCTCACTGTAATAGCGAGAATTTTGTTGTTTATATTTACGTTTCAACCGAACATTAAACCTATATAAACATTATTTTTGCCAATAATGTAATTGCAGTGTTATGTGAAATGGTATAGACGGATGCATACGTCTCTTACCTTGGAGTTTTTTTTAGTTTACGTGTAAATTTGAAAAACTTACTTTTATTTTTGTTTAAAACTGCTAAAACTCAACTGAAAATATTTAATTTGATTTGATATTTGATTTGTTACAAACTATTTTCAATGGAGATCAAATGATTTTTAACTCCTTAAGATATTTGGTCACCAAAATACTTTTATCATAACATTGTATATTTATTTTATTAAAAGAAACATCGGAGTCTTGCCAAAATAAAATGTACGAAATATTAAAAAGAAAAGAATTTAAAATTCGTTGTACCTGTCTAGCAACTGTAATAATTACTAATATGGATTTTGAAATCCATATTTAGGCAACAAAGAAAACATAAATTGGAATTATTATGTTAAATAGATTAAGCATGCCAAACA